ATGGCACCCGCAAGAGTTGATGAGCTTTTCACGCCGGCCACTAACAGCCAGCCCCCCGTCAGCATCAAATCCCAAGATGGGGAGGGCCGCTTGATGCACCGCTCCTTGGTCCAACACCCGTCGATGGTTGAATCAGCCAGCGGGGTATACCTCTACCTGGCCAGCGGCCAAAAGATCATTGATGCCTGCGGCGGTGCTGCTGTTGCCCTGCTGGGCCACGGTAACGAGGAAGTCATCCAAGCCATCGCCGATCAGGCCCGGAAAGTGAGCTACGTCCACACTCAGGCATACACCACCGAGCCCGCCGAGGAACTGGCCAACCTCCTTCTCGACGGCAGACCCCACGGTCTGGAGAAGGCGTTCTTCGTCAGCAGCGGAAGCGAGGCTATCGAGTCGGCCTTGAAACTGGCTCGTCAGTACCACTATGAAAGGGGGCAACCCCAGAGACTGCACGTCGTCAGCAGACGACAGGCATACCACGGCAATACCATTGCGGCTATGTCCGTCTCCACTGTCGCGGCGAGAAAGGTCCCCTACCAGGGCTTCAGCTACCCTCACGTCTCCCACGTTTCGCCCGCATACGCGTACCAGTACCAACGCAACGACGAGACCGAAGACGAGTACACGGCTAGACTCCTTTCAGAAGTGGAAGCGGAGTTTCAGAGCATCGGCCCCGGAAACGTGATTGCCTTCGTCGCAGAGACCGTGGTCGGTGCCACCGCGGGATGCGTGGCGCCCCCCACCGGCTATCTCGCTGGCGTTCGTCGGATTTGCGACGAACACGGGGCCCTTCTCGTCCTCGACGAGATCATGTGCGGCACAGGACGCACCGGGACGTTTTTCGCCTTTGAGCAAGAGGGTGTCGTCCCCGACATCGTCACCGTCGCCAAGGGGCTGGGAGGCGGCTACAGCCCCATGGCCGGCGTTTTGATCCACGAAAGGGTGGTCGCCGCTCTTCGACAGGGCTCCAACTCTTTCAGTCACGGACACACATACCAGGCCCATCCTGTGGCCTGTGCCGCCGCCTTGGCGGTCCAGAAAATTTTGAGGCGGGATCACCTTGTAGCCCGCTGCGCTCGGCTGGGCAAGCAGCTCGAGGCCGTGCTACGGAATGAGTTGATGAACTGCCGATCGGTTGGTGATATCAGGGGTAGAGGACTATTTTGGGGAGTGGAGTTTGTTAAGGATCGGGAGACCAAAGAAACCTTCGATCCCAAAACCCGGTTTGGGCTCCGTGTCCAAGAACGAGCCTTTGAGAAGGGCGTGGCTCTGTACCCTGGCGCTGGCACAGTAGACGGCTCAAGGGGTGATCATGTGTTACTTGCACCGCCGTTCATAATCACAGACGAGCAACTCAGGGAGGTCTGCAGAGTCCTCCGAGAAGCAGTTGAAGAGATTGAGGCGGAAACGATGTGAGAGGTGCAGCGTCATGGAACGATACGAAATGGGCTCAAGCTCAGAAAAGTGCACCACAGTCGCCATTGCAGAGGAGCAGGCATTAAGTCTGTTCTTGATTTCGCGTTGTCTAGATATCTAAGTGAATGGATAGTTGCGGCATATTGTCACGCGAAAATGACGCCGTTAAGTGCGGGCAATGATTAACGTCGTAATATGCTCACAAGTGAAATTTATATACCCGCGCCAGGCGCCGTCGACCCGCCCGATATTGTCCTCAAACGAGGCCATCCCGAACGAACCTCTCGTGGCACAACGATAATCTATAGCGCCCCTGTGTTGATCGAAGAACACCCAGTCTTGCCGATTCGCAATCAAGTTAGAGCAAACAGCTCTGAAGTATTAACATCTTCTAGCATCGACCACCAATTGGGCCAGAGACCCTGGTCATCTATGGCCCCCGTAGCGTCTATCAAAGTGTGGGCGTTCAGGCCGATGCTGTTGTTTCGCTGCTTCTCGGTTGGGAAACCTCCTTCTGCGGCGCCGATTGAGCTTCTCTCAACATTGTTGATCTCCTCTAGATGCTCCGCTGACCTATCCACGACCCGGAACTCATGCACGGACTGGTGAAGGACGCTGAAGTCGAACCGAGATCGGCCACGATACCTCTGAACGTCCGAAGTCGCCCTTTGGTACATCAGAGAGCCGTTCTGGATAGTTTTCAGCTGCCGCGTGTTAGTCCCGCCGTGGCATCCGGACGCTGCCAGAGGTTTTGTTGGATGCTCACCCAACCGTCGCCGAGGTCCCAGACCTCTCGAAACTTTTTGAGATATTCAATGCTCGAGTCCATCAGCTCCTCGGCTCTTGTACCATAACCGCAAGTGATACGTGGGAATCTGAAGCCGTAAAGATTGATGTAGCATGAAGTGAAAGCGCAAAAGCCCGCAAAGGGCGTCATGACTGCCACGCCGCATTCCGAAGCCTCTTGGAGGATGCTCGCAAGATTTGCAGCTCCTTCGAACAGTTCTTTGGCGCTCTGCTCCCACCAACCCGGAGGAGCTTCAGCCTCCAGGGTGGGTGGGTCAATCGGCCCCTGAGGGGTCATGTCTAGAGTCGGTAAAAAAGGGAAGTACTCTCTCTGAAGCATTATGATGCTGTCAGGTCTCAACAGTCAGTTCTGGGCCTGGCTCTTGAGTCAGAGCACGACTCACCTTTGATAATAGAGCAGGTTGAGATAAACAAACGATTCCCCGTATCCTAGAGTTGCATGCGCCGCAACACTATTGTCGGGATAGTGCAACCGACGGTGCTGTTTCAACCTCCAATCTTCAAGTCTGCGGCGCCAGCACGCCACTGGAGATGTTGGCACCCAAGGACAGTTCTCTGGCAGACACATCCCCGGCGCTCTGCGCCCTTCATTGAAGACGAAGGCCATTATGTCGGAGTAAATGTCGAAACCGTCCGCCATGATACCAAAGCTTTGGTCAAGATCGAGGTAAACAAACGTATCTGCCCCATTTGAGGCCGAGCCTTCGCCAGGTTGCTCAGACTGCGCTGAAGTTCCTGCTCCAAGGGCAAATTCCGTGGAGGTAGGTGGCCGCGGGACATTGAGCTTGGCCATTTCTGCTTTCGGTAGTACGCGCGGATTATACGTACCAGAACTGACCATGCAGTCCATTATGAAGCACGCCCAGAATGTCCTTGCTTCAATGGCGGGAGCGAGGCTGTTTGGCTCGTTACGGTGAGAGATCTCGAGAGGGAAAGGCGCAACTCTTGAACTGTGAAGCAGCTGCATCATACGGATCGCGATACCTGCATGCATCATGTCAGAAAGAAGGTATCTTGCGGGTCGGTATTCTTACCACAATGCATCCAGGCTTTGTGAAAGTCGCGTGTGCCCCATTCGTACAGCGTCAGTATGAGCAGTGCCTGTATGACCGTTACATCTGGCGGCTGCAGTATGCATGCTGCCAAGACGCCGCACGCATAAGAGGCATACCGTTCGCTGTCATGCACGAGCCGCGTTCGCAGTCGATCCGAGTCTGGTTTTTGGGTTTTGGTCATTGCAAGTACGGTTGCCAGCAATGCTTTACATTCCCTCGGACAGGTTGATCTGAAAGATTGCATGAATGAGGATGGGTGGATGACACGGAGTTCCGGGAATTTGCGCCAGAAAGCCTCCAGTGCGATGAATACTACGTCTTTGGGAATCTGTTCGAGATGCCTGTCCATTTCCTCCCGGCCATCTCGAAAACCCACCCCCGAGGGGGACGCTGGACCCCGAGATTCGGGTGCGGAGATCAGACGCCGCTGGGGGTCGGCATCGTGATCGTGCGGTATTGACGGCGCCTCCTCCGTCGCTCTCCGTGCCTGTTTAGCCGCTCGTCTAGTAGACGCGACCTGCGGCCTAGTCAACGCGCAGTCGAATCTTCCCGACTTTTCGCATTTGTTGCATGGCGGAGTTCCGCTATTGACGCATTTGACCTTGCTCCGCCTGCCGAGTACTCGGGGTATTAAGCGGTGCTGATCTCGGAGCGGACGATCGCCGGGGCGGGGACCGAGGCTGGGACGACTTACCGGCAAGATTCGCACGAAAGACTGGACCTCATTCTTTTTCCCGATGTAACAAAATTTGTCTCGGCTCTGGTGAACGAACCGACAGAACGGGAATGAAGTTTTCGGCTTACGGTTTTCGGCTTGGTCACTGTGGGGCTTGGCTCGATGGATCCATATCAGTCTCATTAAAGAATCCAGTATCCGAGTCTCTCCGATGCAGAGTAACTATCAGGCTACTCTCTGAGCGAGTGGAATTAGAATTTTGTAGCCTTCAAGAAGGATTTCGGCGTGCCTGTGAGCGTCCGACGCTCAAAGGATGGTGATTTCTTACTTGACCGCTAGAGCGCCGAACCAACGACAAGTTCGAGTTACTATGCACGAGCTTGAGTCATTGACTACCCACTGTAGATTTGATCTTAGCATATTGGTGTCCTCTGCTATTGAGGAAGGTCGAACATTGTCAATGGTATCAACACTGGGAACCGTGACGAACGGACAATAAAATATGGCTCAAAATCTCCATCTTCCAGTAATGAGAACATCACAATCGTGGCTTGACGCAATTCGACACGCATACGTCCAGCCCAGTACTCTCTGTCCAACGCTTTTAAGTCGTCCCTCTGTCAACGTAACGGTTGCACTGAACAGTTTCAGAGTGAGGTGTGGATACTAGATGGGGCTCCTACTGCTATGCACATCACTGTGCCGCGCAGGTATAAAGATATATCATGAGTTAATTACTCAGGAGCTATAGAAGTCTATCCTTAAAGCATAACCAAGTCTACCCTATATATAAATCTTAGCTCCTGTTAGTATACTATAGACTAATCCATATATATCAGTCCTCTGTTACAGAAAACCCTTAGTATATTAGTTCTAGCGTGGAGCGCTTATTGGATACCAGTTCCTCTTATTGCCACGTGATCTATACCATAGTTCTTCTGTTCCGGGGAGTCATCTGCATGACCTTTTCCTTTACAGACTGTATCACGATTGTGCTGCCGGCGCTTCCAAAGTCTGGTGGGGCTGGCGGTGGCTATAGTTTGTTGGGTTGTAACATCAACATCATGGCAGGTTACTTTCTTCTTTGCTTTGGGTATTGGCATCAATTAATCCGTCTCGTCAACGCTTATAGAACCTAGATACTGGGCCATGACTCCTCTGCTTCCAGTATTGTCTTCCGCCCCAGATGTCCTTAGCCCTTCCACGCTCCCATTCACAACTTCCAGTCCTGGAAGCGGTTACGCCCGAAAGGCACGAGCACCTTTCTTGCCACCTGGGCAGATAATTAGCTTCTGTCAAATGGAGCCTAGTTAGGGTTCGATTTCTTACCAGCTTTGTTACCAGTAGCAGCAGCAGCAGCACCACCACCACCACCACCTGCACCACCTCCGCTGCCTGCCTGTTGCACAACAACGCAGTTGCCGAATCCACCAGCCGTTTTGAAGGACGCAAGGCACAGGTCTCCTGAAGCTCCACCGCTGCACTTGGTACCAGCAGGGAGCGAGGCGGTCACCTCCTCGGTGCCCGTGCTTGCTGGGGCCTGTGGTTGATTCTGTTAGAAGACTGCCACAAACCCATCCGTATGCTTCTAGGGGAGAGACTCACGAGCTGGCCGTTGGCTGACACGTCACCATCCACAAAGGTTTTGCCGTCTCCGGCAGCGTTCACCTTCATGGTGACCTGGCGCGAACCGTCCTTGCCACTGGAAATACGAGTTAGTGTTACCCCAACGACGGCCAAGGGCAAAGTATACGGACCCATTGAAGTTCTGGACATTGACTGTGAAGGAGCCCGAGGCATCGGCCTTAACCGCGGTCGAGCTATCAATGGCCGACGCAACGTTCACGCCGTTTCCACATGGTGCGTTGTTGGACGGCCTCTTGACGTCCTTGCGAGCAGCAGTGCCGGAAACCCCCAGGACCGGGTTGATTGCGGCATGGGCGGCAACCTGGACGGCGGAGAGCGCCAGAACAGCACTATAGACGAAGAGCGACTTGAGCATCATGATGCCGAAGGGTGTAAATGAGTCTTTGGGAAAAGACTGTAATAGGTACCACCAGGGTACTAGAAATCAAGAAGAGAATAGAAGAAAGAATGACGGAAAGGCAAGAGAATGAAGAGAATGCGATGGTGCGGTCTTTCTGTGCTTCATCTTGGCGCTGCCTCGAGGCTTTTATCGTGAACAATGGAAGCAACACGATTCAAGGCCCCTGTTACACAACCCGCGAAATCACGGTTACGGAGCAGTTCCCACACGATGCTGGTGTGTCCGTCCACGCAGGGGGCGGCCAGCAGCTCCCTTGGGGCCAACTATAACCGGCTTGCCCTGACCCTTGAGTGTCGGCTACACCTTTCATCTTATTTTTTTTAAGCGAGCCCAGAGCGATCCCGGCAACTCCACGCTATGGAGTGCATTCTCACGTAGATCTAGTGGATTCTGTGGCTGGTTTCGACCTATGCTAGAATGCCGGGGTGATGAGGTGAAACCATGACTGTTGTTACAACTCAGCGGCAGCAGATGACAGCATGCGTCAAAATCGTTCAGGTGGGCGTCGTCTCTGACAGGCCCACAGAAAGTAGATCCCCAAGTTCAGCCTCTGTTTTAGGTATAGTCTTAACCCTTTTTTTCCCCCATGGATTTGTACGGAGTTGCCTCTAGACCCTCAACGCTGAGGATTCCTTGCGTGGGGTGAAACAGGGGTTCCTTGAACGGAGAAACCGCAAATCTGACGTCTTTGGATGCTGCGCCAGGGCGGATCACCAGCAATGCTGGAGTCTCCAAGCCTAAGCCACAGTCAACTGTTCGAATTTTTCCAGACTTAGCAGTTGTCGCAGCATCAAATTCTTGACTGGTTTATACACGGCTATGCGCCTGAGTGAAGTTTTGGGAGAAGAAACGAGAAAGCTCCCGCAGTACGGATACGCCAAGACGAGCAATTCGTTGATCTCTGGTAGAACCCGCAGATCACTGATACAGTCCCATGTCGAATCCACCCACAGGTGTCACCCTGATCCCTCTGGCAACTTGAACCGACGCTAAGTTTCATGATCTGATATAGGCAAAGCTTAATGGGGGTGCTGTACTCTTCACCAAGTGGCTTAGAAGTTAGGATGAAATGTCCTGCTACCTATATGGTAAAGTGCAGCATTAGTCCCAACCGTTTGGGATTCGACCCGTAACCGCCCCACCATCGAGTGAGGTTATTGATACCGTAGCGTTTCATTACGAGTACCGAAATTCACTTCCGTCCGGATCAACTAATCCGCCAGTGCCAGACTGCGAAAGCCATAGGTCAATTATTTCGCTTACCCTTTTTTTCAGACGCCTACATAGTAGGTCAATCCGCTGGTACCGGATTGCTCAAGCGTGAAAATCTTGCCACAATGTGCTTGCTGCAAGTCCAACGTCTCCCATCTCGCATTAACAGTCGCAGGCGGCAATAGCGCATCCGTTATTGCAGCCTGGCAACGCAATGCTGGATTGTTGTTAGCAGTCCAAACTTAATTAATTAGTTTAGGAGGGCGCGTCTACCAAGGCAAATAACGGCAGCAATTCTGGAAGTGGTGGCGGGTTACGGTACTACGGCTGAGAGCAGAGGAAGGCGAGAGAAGAAGAACGATTACGTCACGGAGCAAAGAGTGATCCTCCTACCTACACTATTGCGATCTTTGCAGAGCGACGGTTGATCCGGCTGGCAACTGTATATATAGCTGAGATAAGACTGGGGCTTCTTGGCTGATCGTCATGCCAATCAGGAACGTCTAGCTCGGCGTGTACGGCACTAAGAGCATGTACTTGGCAGATCATATTTCTTCTCGACTTGACTCGTGTGTTGAGACGATGTCCCTGAGCTCGCTTGCCCGTCACCGTCATGTTAGTTTCAGTCATTACGTTCCAGGCTGTTACAGCGTAATAATAACCGAAGGATGGATCTCTCGCAAGGATGATGTGGATGTTTGAACTGCTCGCTTTTCCTTGCCGCCTAGGCTCGCGAACCAAGACATCCACGAACAGACAGGCATCACAATAGCTACCGACGGTAGGTCGGCGTTGAGTTTTGATCAACTCCAGCCCAGAAGATACTCATAAAGATACAATCAGGCATGCAATCGGCGGCTGTTGGGCCGACCCCTCGAGCCTCTCATGCGCAAAAAGAACAGGAAGTTGGATTGTGACACTAATGTCCTGTTCAATCGAAGGGCATTGTTGTGTCATTCAAAGAACTTCCATCGCAAAAAAAAAAAAAAAAGAAGAAGAAGAAAAAAGAAAAAAAACGCCGCCACAATCCCGAGATATCAAACGTCCCCCTCCTGACCCCCTTCCGAGCTCCCGAGCTCCCAGATCGCACACGTCTTTGCTCAAGCAGCTCGGCACGCGCCTACGGGGATACCCAGGAGCCACGTCGCCCCCCAAAACTTGCCCGCGCTCTCCTTGGCACCGACCCGTAGCTCCCTCTCGACCGCGCTCGCCAGCGGCCACCTCCACCCGAAGACGGCCTCGGCGGCGGCCGGGGCCCAGCCGCGGGACCCCCCGATGTCGGCCGGCGTCTGCTGCGTGGTCATCCACGGCGACGATGATGATGACGACGACGACGACGACGACGACGACCCCTCTCCATCCCGCCCCGTCGGCGGCGGTGGGTAGGCGCGCGACAGCCGCGCGACCTGCGACGCCGTGGCCGGGGCCGTCGCGGGTGCGGGTGCGGCGCGGGCGACGGCCCAGTACAGCCTGCTGAACGCCTCGACACCCCGGAACAGCGCCTCGTCGAACGCGTCCGGGTCCCCGCTTGCGCGGCGGAGGAACTGGAGGTACACCTGCGTGAGGCGGAGCGCGTCGTTGGCGCGGCAGTCGCGCAGCTGGGGAGTGTCGGCCGTCCAGAGCGCCGTGGCGTGGTACGGGTGGCCGGGCTCGCGGGCGTTGCCGAGGTCGCCGAGCTTCCACCGCCCCGGGTCGCTCTCGGAGCCGACGAAGACGTTGTCGAGCTTGACGTCGTCGTGGCAGAGGTTGTGAGCCGCGTGCAGGTCCTCGAGGGCCGCGAGGAGGGACTCGAAGGACGGCCGGAACGCGCGGTCGAGCTCGCGGTGCGAGGTCGGGCCGCCACCGCCGCCGCCAGCTCCGGAGGCGCGCAGCTTCTTGGCCAGGTTCTTGAGGGTGCCCGACTTGAGGAACGGCGTGACGAGATGCCACTTTGGTGACAGGAGCGGGTCTGCGGCGGCTAGGAAGTAGTCCTTGACGGGGACGAACATTTCTTTGTTCGGACCGTTGCCGGGCGGCGGTGAGCTGCCCTCGTGTCCTCCCACCACCAGACTGGCCGGTATCTCTGTCGGCCACCTTCTCGGCGGCCCGCCCGTGTTCAGCATGCAGTTGCGGAACGGGCTCGACTCCTCGTCGTAGACCTTGATGACGGTGTTGTTGAACGTGAACGTCTCCCCTTCGCGGCCCTTTCCGAGCCTCTTCCAGTGCCGCCTGTTGTCGAGCAAGGCGCGGCGCTCCGTGTTCGTCACGTCCGCGTTGGACTCCCACCCCGTGCCAGTAAGGACCGCTGTATCGTGCTCCGACAGGTTGCCGAACACGGTCGGCAGGTACTTGAGGCGCATGGCCTCTCGATATCGAAAATGCAGCTCGAGGACGTGGTACATGACGATGATGGACGCAACGGCGAGGATCCGAAGAGTCAGCCGGGCGGCGAACGACTTCAGCCCCCTCCGGCGAGCCCCCACGGGGCTCCAGTTCCGATCTTTCATCGTCGTGTACGAGCCAGGATATGCTGAATGGCGAATTGCGGTAACTTGCGTATGAGAAAACACTCCCCCAATCCTCCCGGAGCAGAGGAGCGGGAACCCCCTCTCATCTAATAAAGACAACCTGCCAAGGAGGCCAGATGCCGTCAGAAGTACGCGACCCCATCTTTGGAGGTATGAACCGAACTCACGAGATGAGCAGGCAGAGAGGGGACAACTTAGTTGACTGGAAGGGCAAGCTACGCGACAACGTCTAATGTGGTGACACACCGCCAGACGCGGAGGGGGGGGGGAGGGGACACGTCGTCCAGCCATCCCCGTCATAACCTCCCACCCACTCAAAGCAGGCTTGGCTTGTGACAGTATATAGGACCCGTCTTCTTGGCCGCTGAAACGGGCTCATGAGATGGGCTGGGCCGACGTTCTTCGTCGTCATGTTGGCGCCCACAAACAGGGTGGGAGAGCCAAGGGTAGCCAGCCATGGCAAACATGCGCCCCAAGCTCGGCCACACCATTCCCTTCCCTCCATTTGGTTCTCACATCTCTTGATGGATGGGGCTCACGGCGTGAGATCCGTTGCACCACTCCATGCGAAGCCGATCCGGAGGCCGGCCAAGAGGGTGTGTGTATGTGTATGTGTGTATGTGTATGTGTGTGTGTGTATGTGTGTATGTGTGTGCGTGCGCGTGATTGAGACCAATCAGCGCGTCATGCGCGACTCCTTTTCTTTGCCCCCCCAATGCTGCTTTCGGAACTGAAAAAAAGAAGTCAGCTTGGGACGCCAGGAGATGGCGCCGGCGAACATACGATTCAATCCTGAGACCCTGCCAAGATCCAAGGCACCCGAAACCTCGGGATGACCTCCAGTCGCTCCTCTCGCGGGCGATTTTGGAGGACCAATGAAATGTGGTGGAAGGGGTGGAAGTCAGATTAAGGTCCATCTTGTGGTGTGTGAGCGGGGGAGTCCTCCCTCCAAACTCCTCGCAAACTCGGCGTCTGCCGACGTGCCCCGGTGGACTTTTTTGTCTTTCCGCATCGGACGTGTGTGCTGGACCTTTTTTTTCCCCTTCCCAGCCACAGTGCTCAGATGGCCTCCCAACGGCAACGATTTCCTCTCTGGCTCCCCCTTCTCCCTCCCTCCCTCTTCGTTCGGCTGAGTTCGCTCGCTCGTCCGCAGGAGGGTAGCCACCGCCAGGGCCGCATATTTTCCGAATGCGGTAACCTCCGGAGTCTCTTGGGGGGTGCGGGTGATACACCGTTGATCAATGCTGAGTTGAAGAGAACGAAAAGCCCCATCATCGACTTCGTTCTGTGCGACTCGTGAATTGGTGAAATCAGAAGAAGTGAAACCAGCCCCCTCGCGTCTGCATCTATTCTACCCACAGACAACCAAAGCCGCACACACACACACACGGCGCCACGCCAAGAAACCCAAACGATCGGCTGCGGCGCGGATTGAATCCAGGCCTGTTTGAACTGCCCTATGCAAAGAGCCCCAAGCTCCGAGTCGCCCGCCGTCCGATGTGGCAAAGTCCCAACGTCGCGGGACCGGCTGAAGCTTTTCTTTCTTTCTTTTTTTTCCCTTCTTTTTTCTGCCCAAAGCTTATACGGTCTTCTCGTCACCCTCTCCCCCGTGTACTCTGTAGAAACAGATAGAACCGGGTAGTCCGGATCAACAGTCTGAACCAACCTAGCGAAGCCCTTTTTGGTGTCCAATGTTTCCGCGCCCCCTTTCCTTCCCGTGCGTTCTGGGATGCGGAAATAGGGGGGGGGGGGGGGTTCCTCCTCCCCTCCTCCGCCGAGATGTCCAAGTTGAGAACTCAATGCCACAGGCGTCAGAGCAGCTGGCGTTGACTTTGTACGGGATGGGGGTTAATGTCGTAGAGCCTGGTTGCTCTTGTCGACTTCCACACGGCGAGAATTTGAACGACATGCAACGTAGTCCGTCATGGCCGGGCTTTGGTTGCTCGTCGGTGTCCACCGCTCGAGGCACTGTTGAAAGCTCGTGGAGTCGCTTTGTCGTGATTCGAAGGGAAGGGAATGGTGAGAAGAGGACCACGGAGTGGCCCGACCTCTCTTCTGAGCGTGGCTGCGCCTTTGCCGTGGTATGTATGATGAACAATAAATTGATCAAAAAGTCGGCTCAGTTCTTGTCCTGACCACCGTCTCTCAATACCCCAAGCCTCGCCCAGCACGCGTTTCCACGATGCCCCATGACGCCCTCGAAGGTCTCGGCGAAGGTATACCAGCGCGGCGGCGTCTGAAGCAACAAGAGAACACAGCAGGCGGTGTTGCATAACGGGGCAGCCAGGTCTTTGGTGGGTCATGCCCGTGGGAACGATGAGATGAGCAAAAGCACTCTATGATGGAAAGATGAGCGAGCAACCCCCCCCTAATGGGTACGAGGCCAAAGAAGGCGTATTTACTCCTTGGGCATGTGTCAATCACCGGTCCAAAGGTCTTTGTCAGTCAACTTGGGCGCAGGAGCGGGTAAAGTCAATCAAAGACCTGGGCCCAAGCGCGAGCACAGCGTCATGGTCGTATCATTTCAGCGAGCCTCGACATCGTATAGTCTTACAAAACTTTTGGAACATTCAACTCGTGGAGTCTATATATGTACATTCTCTTGACAAGCTGAGGCAACCCAACAACTCCCTGATAGGTTGATCTTTTTTTTGAATACCGAATTAGGCCCCCAGGTTAACTTTGGAATGCGGAAAATGCTGAAATAGATCGAAAGCACTTTTTGAGGATTTTTGTTGTTTTTCGTATTGTTGCCCCAGAGGACCGGCGTTCTTCAGGATGAAACCCGCCCGTCGCCCGTTCAAACACTGGTCCCAATGCAAAAAGGGAAGATTTTTGTCGAAGCTGGATCTCGATTGTGGCCGACAAGACCCAACAAAGCTGGTGGTATAAGATGAGAGAGAGCAAGATGCATGGACGCCTCCGAGTTCGAAAAAAAAAAAGATGAGATTAACAAGAAAGAGATGGGCGTGATCAGTTTAGCCGTGGAGGCCACACGTTCTCTCGCGCATCAGCTCGCGGCGCTTCTTGTCCTTTTCTGTTTGGGGGGGTCAGCTTATGATCTGGTTAGGGAGGGCAATTCACGGCAATACTAACCTCCATCCCATGTCAGGAACTCGTGGAGGGCTGATCCAGACGGCACCATGGGCAGAACGGGCACCTTCTTGTCGGTGACGACCTCGAGAAGGGCAGGGCCGTCGGTGTTGATGAGCCACTTGAGAGCGTCAACGACCTCATCGGGCTTGATCACTCTGCGGTGCTGGACACCCATGGCATCGGCCAGCTTCATGAAGTCGGGGTTCTGCTGGTGGGTGTGGGCGTAGCGGTCCTCGTAGAAGAGGTTCTGCCATTGCGTGACCATGCCCTGTTCCTCGTTGTTCAGGACAATAACCTTGACGCCGATGTTGAACTGGGCGGCGGTGGAAAGCTCGGTGAGGGTCATGTTGAAGGAGGCGTCGCCGTCGATGTCGATGACGAGAGCGTCGGGCTTGGCGACCTTGGCGCCGATGGCGGCGGGCAGGCCGTATCCCATGGTACCCAGGCCACCAGAGGTGATCATGGTTCTAGGGTGTCTCCAGCGGAAGTGCTGGGCAGTCCACATCTGATGCTGGCCGACACCGGTGGAGATGATGGTCGTCTCCTTGCGGTCGGCGGTCAGATTGCTGAGCTCCTCGATAAGAGTCTGGGGCTTGATCAAGCCGGAGCGCTCAGCCTTCTCGTAGTCGGACATGGGCCACTTGGCCTTCCACCCCCTAATCTTGTCGAACCACTCCTTGCGGTCGTCCATCGACTTGGGCTCCAGGAAGGGCATGAGGATGCGGAGATTGGTGGCGACGTCACCCTCGACGGCCTCGGTGGCCTGGACGACCTTGTTGATGTTCTTGGGCATGATCTCAAAGTGGACGATGCCACCACGGCCCTCAGCGGCGGCAGCCTTGGCGCCGGGGGCAAACTTGGCGACGTTGAGGGTGACACGGTCGTCGAAGCGGGCACCGAGGGCGATGATGAGATCGGCCTGCTGGATGGCCATGTTGGCGTAGGCGGAGCCGTGCATGCCGAGCATGTGAAGGGACTTCTCGTCGAGCTCGTCGAAGGAGCCCAGGCCGTGCAGGGTGGTGGTGACGGGGATGGACATCTTCTCAGCAAGCTCCTTGAGGATCTCGGGGCCGCCTTCGGACTGGGAGATACCCTGGCCAGCGTAGATGATGGGCTTCTTCGCAATGTTGACGAGGTCGGCGACGCGCTTGATGGACTGCTCGAGCTGCTTCTGGAGCAGAGCCATGGCGGCTCTCGAGGCGGCGCTGGGCAGAGAGGGGAGGTCGGTCTCGGTGGGAATGGCGCGTCTCAGGACACCGGCAGTGACGTCCTTGGGCAGGTCGACGAGGACGGGCCCGGGGCGGCCGCTGGTGGCGATCTCGAAAGCCTCGTTGATGCGGCGGGGAAGCTCGGCGATGTTCTTCACCATGACGTTCCACTTGGTGCAAGCGCGAGAGATACCGGTGACGTCGGCCTCCTGGAAGGCGTCGCTGCCAATGGCAGAGGTGACGACCTGACCGCAGAAGACAACCATAGGGGTACCGTCGGAGAGGGCGTCCTGCATCGGGGTGATGACGTTGGTCGCGCCGGGGCCGGAGGTGACGAGGACGACACCGCACTTGCCCGAGGCGCGGGCGTAACCCTCAGCCATGTGGCCGGCACCCTGCTCGTGCTTGGGCAGGATGAAGTCGAAGTGTTTTGAGTTGTAGATGGCGTCAAAGACGGGGAGAATGGCTCCTCCGGGGTATCCAACTATAAGTCACGGTCAGCCATGTCTCTCTCTGTCTCTCGTCAAATAAAGAAAGAAAAAGGCATTGCTTATGGTGGAGGGAGGAGGGAGGGAGGGAGGGAGGGGAGGCGCAATAATTAGGGGCCACCAACAAATGTGCTTAACGTTGTGTCTCAACATCATCTCGTGGAAGATCTCGCCTCCAGTCTTGCCAATGAAGCTGTATACTGGTAAGCATTTCCGCGCGCTTACAGTCGGACGATGACGTCGGGCACGGCTGCGAGGGCTACATACGACTCGTCCATCTCGGGGCCACGGGAGGCGACAAGAGGCTGGACATGGCTACGGTCCTTGGCGGCATTGAAGGCGGGTGCGGGCTTGCTTCGAACCTCACTAGAGTTGGGAAGCACTCTTGTTAGTCAAACCGTCGCATGAGTCACCTTGTGGTATCCCTCCCCCCCCCCAACCAGAGACGGCTGGGAAGGCTGCACAAACGGACGGGAGAAAGAGCAGAGCAGGCAGCGAGCTTACGGAGCGGGCGAGGTGGCAGAGGTAGCCTGATGCCTCACGCCGGAAGGACCTCTCTTCGCGGCCTGGACGGCAGCAACGGCGGACGAGGTGGTGAGGGCGCGGGGAGCGCTCGGCGTCGAGATGGCCTTGAGGGCGCGGGTGGCGTGGCGGCTTCGGAGCATCATGATGGGCGGAGAGTGGGGAGGAAAGAGAAGAAGTCACTCGGCGTGATGCCTCGTCGAGATCCTTGGGGTAAAGAAACAAAGGCGGCTCGTCGAATTGGACGATCGCAGGGGGGGGTGAAGAAGGTTGCAGAAGTCGAGGGTCGTCGATGGGGGGGGGAAGGGAAGAATGGAAGGAGGAGAGAAGCAGTCACAAGGTTTGACTGCGAGCAAATTGGGCAGATCGCAAAATCAAATTCAAGATTCGGACGGGGGGCGCACCAATGCACACAAACATGGGTAGACTAGTGACTACCTACAATACTCTCTCGCACACGCCGGCAGCGGTAGCTCGAGGAGTCAGAGCGGCAGGGGGGGAGGGGATGGGGACAATTGGGTTGCCGGGGTGCCTCCGGTAAAGGACCCTTTCAACTTTTCAATGACGGTTTAGGCCTGGACGGTATGCAAACTTAGGTACCGGTAGGCAGACCATTCCATTCCGGCTGTGCTGCTGATTCCGAGGCGGGTAGAAAAGAAAGAAAAAAAATTATTATCATCGGCCGCCAATGTGTGGGGTAGCCAAGCTCTGACTGGCTGGAAGCGAACAAGCGTCACCCATCGGGAGACGTGCACGGACCAAGGATCCAATCTGGGGAGGCGATATCGGCCCCCCCCCCCCCCCCCCCCTTCCTCCTTCCTATCCATTCTTCCCTTTCTTCCTTTCTTTGCCCTTTGGAGTCTTGCCTGGCAGACAGACACTTTAAGTCTTACTTGATAGGCAGCTTTGGTTTGGTCGCTTGCGGTCTTCTTGTCTTCTTGTTGGCTGACGCCATCTTCCTCCTGCCCGCTCCCTGCATCCTGCCGTCCACCGCCAATTGCTATGTCTTCATTCGTAGTCTATCCGTATGTCCCCTCCTCAGCTCTCCAAATTTGCATCTGTATGCATGCACATCCGTCCGTCCAAGACTGGATTGGTTTATCCCTCAACCCTATTGGCTGTAGAACCCCTCTCCCCCCGAACCGCAGCGGGTGCGAAGGCGCGTATTGTACGGATAGGTACACTACTAGGTATGTACAACCGAGGGGAAGTGGGAGGAAGCAAACGCTTTGTCCGCATTTTCCCCGCCAACCCTTTCGTGACAATAAAAGGTGTGGAAGAACGGGAGGCAGCGGGAACAAGTCACAGAGCCACCTCCCCCTGTTGCTATCTTTTCCTATCAAATTACCCCGGCTCATTAGGCTACGCGGTGAGTAGATATCTATCTACGTATGTACACCTCTATATAGGTATTCTTTTTTCCTAAAGATAGACCCCGAAGATAGACCCCAAGGAAAGAAATACTTCTTTTTCCCGGGTCAACTCGCTACGCTAGCATTTAGAACCCCGGTGGAGGTGTACATGGTAAGTGGTGCATACAGCGGTGATTGTAGGTCAACACTGCTTCCTCAGGCATGCGCATGCATGCGGGAGCTAGTGAGCTGTCAGGAAAACGGTCCATCCCAACCGGAGACGAGAGACATGGGCGCTGCCACAACTGGATGTACATTCCATAGCCGGAGCTGGCGCAGCGATCGTTTGCCAATGTAGCTCGGCAGTGGTACCGAGAGTAAACTGCAGTTGGGAAGGAATAAGGAGAGTGGAGGACAAACGCCTGCTGTATTGGTATTCGTATTTATTTTTTCTCCCTTCATTTGCAACTCCGCATCTGCTTGACTCCCAATGCAGCCAGCCCTCCACCGCCCCCAAACTCCAAAAAAAGAAAAGAAAAGCATACTCAAAAGGTATCTTTGCCGTAGCTACTCATGTACGTACTGCAATGTAACTCCTCCTATTCCTGACCAACACTACAAGAAAAAAAAGTAAAAACAAAAACAAGAACAAAAGGCTTATCGGACCTTGTTATGGCTCATTGTATCGGTACTCTCTCGTCCCGTCTCCGCTCCCCTCCTCCGCCTCGATTACATCCGGTTACATCCGGTGTTGGTCGCTGAACGGGCCGTGCGCGTCGTGGTAATCAACAGCCGGGTGGCCGTGCTCCACGAGCGGCTGGCTGTCCGTGTTCTCGACCCGCAGAGTCGGCGCCTTGGCTGGTTGCCTAGCAATGCTCGCTGCCTCGGCCCTGGCCGCGATGCGCTTCTTCTGCTTCCTCTCGCGGCAGCAGAGGAACGTGAGCCACCCGAACGAGAACGCGACCGCCACCGCGAGGAAGACGGCCACCGCGATGCCACCGGGGTACACCGTGTTGTCCAGCTTGAGGCACGACGGGTTGCCCGAGAGGTCGTCCGTGCAGCGCAGGCCCGCGGCGCACGTCGCGAACACCAACTGCGTCGGGTAGCAGCCCTCGTTAAGCGTCATGCCTTTCCTCACGCCCGTCGATACGACCGGGCAGAGTGTCGTCGACTTAGTCGTAGTCGTGGAGCAGGTGAGCAGCGAGCGCGTGTCGGTGTCCGTGCTCGTGGCCGTGTTGGCTGCCTCGGTCGCCGTTGTCGCAGCAGCAGTGGTCTGGCGCGCGAGCACGGGCATGTGCCGCTTGCGCAGCTCGGCGGGAGCCTTCTCGTCATTGCCGCATCGATCTAGGGTCCCTTGCGACTCGATAATGGCTTCGGGAAGATCGCAGCCGGCGTGTATGTAGCATCTCTCGAGGTCGGTCTGCCTCAGATCGTCGGGGAGCATGTCGATGCAGTGGGCCACGGATCCCGGCTCACCACAGCCCGCAAGCTTTGCAAGCTCAAGACTTCTCGAGCGAAGACAGTGCAGCTTTGCCGGCGACAGAGCGGAAATCGCCGTCGCGGAGAGAAGCGCAATAAGCGCCGAGGCGGAATGGGACGAGCGCATCTTGCCCGGGATTTGTGGGTGGGGTGGTGCTGCAGTAACTGCCGGGACGGGGGTCCGTTCGGAGAGATAGTGGGTTGGGTGGAATCGACAACGGTTCGGAGTGTGGGCGCCTACTACGTAAGTGCAGCCCCAGAAATTTGCCCAAGTCGAGTCAAAAGTCGTCCTCTGGCAGCTTCCTGATTCGGAAAGCCAGGTTCTGCGGCAGCCGCGACGCAGCTTCTGCAGTCTATGTTGGAAAAGGCCGGTCTATATGTCGGCTTGTCTAGGGATTCGTGTGCGAGTGGAACGACGACCGGTTTGGGCTGGTCTGCTAGATGTTGGAGGGTCCTCGAAAAGACGAGGGAAATGGCAAGGTAGGTAGGTAGGTAGGTAGGTCCCTTTTGGTGGAAAGAAAGGGAGGGAAGCAGCACAAGACACGTAGGCGGGTGAGATGGGAATGAGCGTTATAAGAGGAGAGAGACAGAGGCAAAGAAGGAACGGCGCCGCCGCCTGGTACTTTGGGGCTGGACTGGGCTAGAACAGTCGGCGCCTACCTACCTAGGTATTACCTATTTTGGCTTGTTGCCATCCTCGTTGTCTCGTCGCAGCTTTCTTTCTTTCTGTACGTAAGCTAAGGGACGCCAACGCCAATGCCCACGAGCATCGGCAGCTCAGTCCCGAGCCAGCCGTAGTTGGAGTCCCTGGGATTGGCCAACTTCTGGTCTCCTACCTTCCCACTATCCACTCGTTCGAGGTAAGCCTGCAGCACTTGGACCTTGGCTTGGACTGGTAAGGCTGGGGCGGTGTATATTGCCGGCTGGTGTTTGTTGACATTCGATGCTCGAGGGTCCTGTGCTGCTGCAACTTGCTGTAACACAGCCCATGTGGTTTTCCTTGGTTGCGGCTGGCGAAGGAGTCGTGGTGGCTGACGGGGGTCCACCTCCATAATTGGCCAAACTGCCCTGTCTAGGTACAATACCCTCCCTCATCAGGGTTTCCCATTTGCTAGAGGATTAACCTCACGCTGCTTGTTTTCCATGCGGTGAAGGCTGTGCAATGATAGTCTGTACTCTACGGAGTATTGCTTCTCAATCGCCTCTCTGTAGACAAGCATCTCGCCACAGACCGTCACACACCAAGCTCCCCATAACCCATGATGGCTCCGTCCGAGACCTCTCAGCTTACTGCCTCTGGACCCAAGCTAGGTAAGAAAGATGGTGCTGTTCTCGTCCCACAGCCCATGCCCGAAGCGGACAAGGGCGCCTCGGGTGATACGGCGCAAAGCTTAACAATGGCAGGCTCCTCCGGAAACGTTGCACCAAGTTAGTTTCAGTGCTGGGCATTCATTATATTCATTCTGCCTCGACGTGTCAGATTCGCTGTGTTGTGTAATTCGATAATAGGCTGCAGTACGGTATTCCTCCCGCGGTGTTGCCTGCCACTTTCGGCTACTTTTGGCAGGGGAAGAAAAGAAAAAGCCGCCGTCGCTTCCGATGAAACGGATGTTGGTGCTGCAGGCAGTACATAATTATCTGCTGCGGCTCCGTCGCTTGCTTGTTGGTTTGTGAGCATGAGCTGGGGTGGCTCGTGGCTGAGACCCGCCGCCCTAGAATATGGAGGGCTGGACCAGCCATCGGCGCTATTTGGGCGACGCCGTAAAGCAGCAGAAGCTGTCCTTTTTGCTGCCAGAAAGGAGCTCTCGTGTCACGTTTGTCTTTTTTTTTTTTTTTTTTTCATCATCTTTGTGGAATACAAGGGAGCACAAGGCCGTCCTACCTGCTGCAAGAAGGGGTGTATCTTTGTCATCTCAGAACAAGGTGGCCGGGAAACAGGACTTGCGCGGTCAGACGTTGAAGGCACCCCCACCTGCGACGTCTCTGTCGCAGACAGGCGGGAGACTAGTGTATGCTTGGAGAGCCATTTGAAGAGGGGCCGGTCAGCAGAAGAAAGCATTCTTCCCCAAGGATTTGGGCTGAGTCGAGTTCGTCTGTTTACTGTCATCTCACTGCGGAGCGGGGCGGTGTCAGCTTCCCCACTGGATGCAGAGCACACACGGATGAGATGATTCATCGGAATCCGAGTCGGACAGTTCTTGGAGTCGGTGGTTTTTAATCTTATCATCCCTTGTCAATAGACACAGCTTTTCTGCCTGAAGGAATGAACGGAGGAAGGGCGCGGCGCCCTGGACCTTGTCTAAGGAAAATCGCAAGAGCCTCCTTCCGTAGACAGACGCAGCAGCACGTGGGGGGGGGAGGGGGAGGGGGGGGTTGATTACGTAACACATCATCACCGTTGTACTTCGAGCATGAGGCACTGCTTTCTTCTTTTGGATGTTACTAACGATCATAAGAGACAGATACTTGCTTTTTCGCAGCTACTCAACTCGTATTGTTGACTTTTAAACTGTGGAAATGAAACACAATCACCTAAGAAACGGTTTGAAACAACCAGTCAGATTGATCCACCTAATATTATCAACATAATAAGGGCGAGCTCCCACAATGTTGCAAGCTCGACCTCAGAAGTGACGAGTAACTATACGGATGCAGCAGTGACCCCTTTACTAGCTCGCAGATGGTTCCCGTCAAATGAACTGGATCTTTCTGGGGACAGATGTAGAACTGATATCGACTGGAAATGTGAAACAAGCCAATGTCGGTCGTTCCACTCCTTTTCACACGTTGTGCCTGGGTGTGACAGTTGCTCAACCACGTATTTGCGAACACTACCACAATAGCTAGTCGTAGCTCACAAGGCTGGTATTTGGGTTCACATCGGCACGAGCCCCGTCGTATTTTGTCCACAAACGACGGTCCCTGGTAATTATAACGACGCTGATTTATATCGGCCAAGGAGATGATCGTAAAGCCCTTGATGGTTATTTTCAATATGGATCGAGGGCAGGCCAAACCATCTTATATAGACATAGATGGGCATTGTTAGCGCCGGCTATGCGAAAACACACTTGCCGTGCCACCGAGCAAGCACGCTGGCATCCGGTCATGGTCGTTACACCACAGCCGATCACATCAGCAGCCAACCTAATCAGAAAGAGGAACGGGATGCGGCTCAGACGTAGAGTTTTGACGCAGTTCCTCCTGCGTCAGATAGTCCCGGCCGGCGGTTTGCGTCGGGGGAGGGAGCCGGCTCGGAACCCAAAATGCAACGGAAACGACCCCGCCCCCACACCCACCCTTGCGACGTCATCGGTCCGCGCCAGCTTCCAGAATCGTCAATCATGCAACGCACCTCACCCACACTCGTCTCCCCCATCCATCATCCATCCCCCCCGTGCGCTTGCTTTAGTATTAAACCTCCAGCAAATCCTCTCTCCCCTCCGCCCGGTTTTTCTTCATATTGTAGCCCGACAACCCCACGACATACTCTTGCCAGTAACAACCCGAGCAACAAACACACAAACCCTTCCCCCATCACCACAGCTCAAACCGTCACCATGCCTCTCGTCGTCCCCGGTATCAACAACGAGTCCTCCGGTGACAAGACCGAGGAATGGACCAATAAGCTGGTCGGAAAGAAACTGCACGAGGAGGAGTCCAACGAGACGGTAAGTTGCAGTCCGCTCCCGCTCCCGCCCCCGTTTGCCGAGTTGCTCTGACTCTCGTCCTCAGACATTTTGCAAGAGAGACCTACCCGAGAAGACGCGCGTCATCGAGCCCGGCATGATGGTCACCAAGGACTTCGTCCCGAACAGGCTGAACGTGCACATCAAAGAGGATGGCACCGTCTCTCACGTCCATCACGGCTGAGCCGACATGACGACTGTTGCCCGTAGTCCCCGAATAATGCCTGGCTCCAGTGAGGGTTACGCGATGATGGTTTTATGATAGACTTTTGCATGCCTGTACAGCTATGAATAATTACAGAATACGATCTTTCAAAATGTGCTTCAACCCGCATCCTGTGATTCTGCATCCTCTTAAGTGACGTGATGGTGCCTGTAATGCACCCCCCCTTCGGGTCATCCTACTCCCCGCCGCACGGCTGCCCCTCCATAAGTGCATGTCTGGTCCGCCCCGCCCGCCCGATTGCGGGGCAGTTTTCCTCTCTGCGAGGTTCGCTCCAAGCAACCCCACCATCACTCACGACACTCAACTCACGACTCGAACGACGCGGCGAGATTTTGACGACGATCGATTCCCGAAGATACCCCCGCCACCAAGCATCGCGACGTCGATTCAATACCGCCAAAATGTTCAAGAAAGAGTACGCATCCAATCCCTATCAACGCCCCACTCTTACGCTTCTGAACGGGGGAAAAGCCCGCGGCGATAAAGGAAGAAAAGCTAACAGTTTACCCCTCCTCTCGCGCAGCATCACCTCGGCGCCGAAGCAGAAGCTCAAGTCCTCGGTCCAGCGCTCCCTCCGCAACTCGCTGCTCGCGAGCTACCCGCTCTTGAACCCCTTCATCGACGAGGTCATGCCCAAGAAGGCCTCGCTCGAGCAGATGAAGCTGCCCGACCGCTGCTCCCTCTACGTCTGCGAACAGCAGCCCCTCTTCTACCAGCAGGACAACGCCACCCTCATGCCCCACCTCCGCCTCGTCCACCGCTTCCCCCAGGCCTTCCCCACCATCCGCATCGACCGTGGCGCCATCCGCTTCGTGCTGTCCGGCGCCACCCTCATGGCCCCCGGCCTGACGAGCCCCGGCGGCCGGCTGCCCGAGCCCCGCGACGGCGACGAGGGTCCCGACGAGGAGGGCCGCTGGAGCCGCGAGCTCGAGAAGGGCGAGCCAGTCATCATCATGGCCGAGGGCAAGACGGAGGCGTGCGCCGTCGGCCTGCTGGTCGCCGGCACCAAGGAGGTCAAGGACAAGGGCAAGGGGCCCGTGGTGGAGGAGGCGCACTTCCTCGGTGACGGCCTCTGGAGGCTCGGTACGGATTGAGAGGGAGACAATGGTATGGGGACTCGGACGACTTTGCAGATACGGGAAAAGGGGGGTTGGGGGGTTGGGGGGTTGGATATGGATGACGTGATTCCAGGCGGTCCGGCATGATTGGGTCGGTTTGGTCGGCTGCGAAGACTATCAAGAGACATGAGGAGAATATGAAGCAGCGTTCATGATACCATTTCCTTGATGCCGATTCTCGTCGCGAGACTCGGCAGTATCCAGCCCAATGACATGAACCAGACAATCGAGGTATGTGAGAGGCCCGCCTGACGGTCTCGCCCGGAACTTGCGCGTGTTACAAATCGGTGCGCATCGAGGCTCGAAAGTCAGGTGCGCGGCGATGGGAAGATTCGAGAGGCATGTGTCCGGGAATGCCATGTCACGAGAGATGGAATCACTGCACACATCCATCCACCTCGCGGAGTACTTGTTGATAGTCAAATTTCCCACGTTGTAGTGCCGGCAAAAATTGGTTCAGAGCCTACCCTCAACATTCGATTTGAGTGTTGCTTGCGTCCCTTGCACTGAACAGACCGAGATAGAGTGTTGAACCGGTCGAGATGCTGAAAGGGGTCTACGCAGCTGCTGGAAAGTTGGACTCGTGTACTTTCTGCTTCATTCATTCTCCGCTCCACTGGCGTTGCTTTGCTTCTTTGCTCTACATATAACCTTGGCATCATTCCACCGACTGCACACACAAAAAAAAAAAAATTTGAATGAAAGAAAATAACTTTTTCGTTCCCCTCTCCCTTCACCGTTCCCAACGCTGGCATCGACGAGCCCCCCCTTCCGCTACCTACCCCTCGAACCCGGCGTAGAGAACCTTCTCCATCATCCCCGCCGCCGCCTTAGCCTCGACCTTGGCCTCGATGCCCCCGTTCCCGAACTCGTACGCCTCCTCGAACCCCTGCTGCCAGAACTCCCACCTCCTGAATGAGAACCCCGCGCGGCCCTTGAACCTCGGCCCGGGCCTCCATCTCTCGGCGTCCGCGCCCTTCCCGTTGCCGTTGCCGTTGCCGTTGCCGGTGTCGTGGCCGTCGGACTCGCCTCCCCCCTCCGACGTCACGGAGAGGTGATACAGCCGCTGGCAGGAGTGCACCGCCCACTGCGCCGCAGCCATCAGCCGCGCGTCGGCGCCGTCCCGGTCCCCGGCATCCGAGGAGCGGCGGTCCTCGAAGGCGGCGCGGAGCTGCCGGACGGCGAACTCGCGGCCGTCGATGAGGTTGTAGGACCAGAGGAGGGCGGCGAAGGCGTTGAGGTTGATCCAGCGGGTGAGCGTGTCGACCCTACTCGGGGACTGGTAGGGGGCTTCGAGCGGGCGGTGAGCTTTTTTCATACACACCAGTTTATGCGGTGGGATAACGGCCAAGGGGGGGGGGGGGGGGGGGGGGGGGATCAGTGACTTACAAACCATACTGTCCCTGATGCTCTGGTTCAGGCCATGGAGACGGCTCAGCTGCTCGAAGCCATCCTACGAAAGGGGTCATCAGCCAAATGTCTCACGCATCGACGCAGCTCGACTCACCACCGTGACCGTGGCCGTCGTCTTGGGCGACGAGGATAGGTAATCGAGGATGACGACCAGATCCAGCATCGCGATGTTCCCCGACGGCGTCTGCTGCGCCAGCGAGACGAACAGCCTCCACAGCGAGCCCAGCACGTCGTCGTCATCATTCGAGGGCCGGCGCGCCGGCAGCAGCGCCGCGATCTCGACGGCGACCCGGCGCAGCCGCCGCGGGTCGTTGGTCTGCTCCAGGATCGCGCTGCGGACGGCCCCGAACGCGGCGGCGTCGTCAAAGGCCGTGCTGTCCGGCGTGTGCTTCCACCGCACCACCGCCATGTTGCCGCCCGTCATGTCGGCGACAAACTCCTCGAGGTTCTTGGGACGGTCAACGTCCGAGGTGATGCGGAATGACATGATGTGTGGCTGTTCTTCTGTGTCTGTTGAGCCGGGGCGAGATCAGCCGGATGTCGCAATTGGGGGGGTGGTCAGTTGTCCTTTTAAGGTCTGCGACGTGGAAATGATTCGCATCCGCTGCCCCAAGCTCCTAAGGTTTAGGTTATCCAGAGGGGGAGGGCAGAAGGGGCATTGACTTTCCAGGGTAGTAGTTGAACCCTTTTTGTTTGCATGATCGGGGGGGGACATGGAAGAGGGCTCTTGTGTCGGGAGATCCACGACATCCTGAGCCGGAGCTCCTGATGCGTATGGTGGATCTGCGGGGGCAGCAACAACCCAAGGGGGTTCTACATAAGAGGCGCAATTGCGCGAGTCGGGAACTTATCGGCTTTAGTGTTGCCGCCTCGGAACGGGCCCAGCCAGGCGGGGGTCCACCGCTCCCGGCGGCTTGATTCAGGTCTTTGAGAGGCACGAATGTCTCCTTTGTTTCTTCAGTCTTCTTGAGGAGGAAACGGCTAGGGAGCTCAAACTCGCCAGAATGAATGGCGTTGGATTCTTCCTCTAACGTTGACCTGCGTAGCTCGAAGAAAGCTTTCCTTCAACGAAGGATTTCATGGGTCTTTTGATCGACAAAAAAAATTGAAATTAAAATAAAGGATTGGAAAACACCCTCCCTCAGGGCCGCTGAAGTCATGGTGGGAAAGCATGCACAGCGGGGTGTCGACGCTGTATCATTCCCCATTTTGCGTTCTTTTGTTCTTTGATTGCATCAACCAATATAGAATAACGCATTGGAAATGCTCCATCGATGAAGTCGTAAGGCGGCCAACAGAGCTTGCCTTGGACTGTCAGATATCTGAGGAGTTGAAACCACGGTAGGATAGTGGCCGTAACATGCGAGGGGGAACGGTTCAACCAGTTTTCAGATTGACGCCTCCCAGCACCGCAATTGGGCGAACCAAACCGTCCTCAACTATGTTGAATCAACCAAAGTTAGATGCTTCGAGGCATCTCCGAAAAGCCGCCCTCTTGTGTCATATGCCCAGCCCAGTCGTCGCCATGAATAACAAATCAAATTAGAAAGAAGCAAAGCAAAAGGGGAAGAAATAATCACGCCCACAAGCGGACGAACATTTTCAATCGTCTTACCAAATCATCCCAAGGAGCTTTCGAAACATGTCCTCTCTAGGCCTCCCGGACCCGTCCAACACGCCCCACGGCGACGCCGCCCTCCACCGGTCCTGGAACCGGTTCCTCGACGACCACAGCCTCCGAGCCGTCTTCCAGGCGTCCCCGGCCCAGATCGACGAGCAGTGCGCCGACGCCATCGCGGCCCTCCGGGCGTCCGGCGAGCGCCGCGCGGCCGTCGGGGACGCCATCCTGCGCCTCTGGGACAGCATCGGCCTCGTCGTCGACTGCCTGCCGCCGGACGTGAACCCGCACTGGAGGGCCGAGGAGCAGCTCCTCAAGCCCACGGCCCTGCGTCTCGCGGCCCGGAGGGCGCGTCTCGCCGAGGAGGAGCGGGAGCGGGAGAGGCTCCGCGAGGGCTTCTGGGACCCCATTTCCTTCACCCTCGACATGTCCGTCCCCTCCAAAACGTTGGAGGCTTCGGAGGGGAACAGGGAGAAGGGGGAGGGAAAGGACGAAAGTGAGACGACACTCGAGGTCGCCACGTCCCTCGCCAACACGGAATACTTCCTCGGCCACTGCCCGGGCGACCCCATCTTCTCCTACGACCGTCAACCGACGTTCCGCCCCGCGGACGAACGCAACTTCATCTACCGCGGCCGCGTCCCGCGCAGACCCGGGGAGGACCTGCCGCGCTTGCAGCTCCTCCTGCCCCGGGTCCTCGCGCAGCTCGTCGTCCTCCTCGCCTTCTTCCCCGAGAACCCGTCCCTCATCCCCGTCGAGTGCGCCAGGATGATGGGCGAGGTCGACAACCTCGAAGAGAGGGTGTTCCGCATGATCCGGAACTGCTGGCGAGCCAAGTTCGGGGCCATGTCCGCCGCCGCCGCGGCGCCGTACATGCACTTCCTCCGGAGCAGCCCGCTGGTGCGGGAGCTCGCCTGGCTCGTTTGCGCAGCGTGCCTGGACGAGAGGTGCCATCGGCTGACCGAGGAGGCGCGGCGGGCGCGCCGCCTCTGGACCACGCTCCTGCCCGTCGTCGACGTCCTGACCTCGGACAGGACGGAGGGCACCTCGGCGTGTGAGGCGCTGCTGCGCATCGCGAAGCTGCACGTCCAGGACGAAGACCGCCGGGCGCGGGATATGGTGTTCAAGGAGGGGGAGTACGGCCGCGCGCTGGTGTACAGGGAAGGTATCCTCATCAACAAGGTATGTCCCGACTCCATCTCATCTTCGTCGCCATGAATTCCCGCTCGTTTCAAGGCGGGCGAGCCCGTCGATCCCGAGCTTGAGCTCGAGCTCGGACCGGGGCTCATGTCAGGGGACGGTATCCATGCGACCCTGCAAGGGTCCAGCCTCAGCTCCCCCCGGCGGCCCCGGATAAACCATCCTCCACTTCCACACGTCGCCCGTCCAAAATTTCCCAAACCTCCAACGTCCAAATCTGGTGATCGAGAAACTGACGTACTTTCTCCTCTGTAGTCAATCCACGCCTTTTACTCATCCTACACCGGCCGCCTACGCCCTGCCGCCGGCGTCCTCTTACGGCCCAATCCGCACCCGATTTTCCCCGCCGAATCAGACCCCGACGGTTTCGACACCGACCCCGTCCCGATCCCCGACGAGGTCCTAGCCGCGTACGAGAGCATCAGGGCGCGACACGAGCTCCCGCCCGAAGCCAACGTCGACGTCCCCGCGCCGCTGCCGGAACAGCCCAGCCGAACTGAGACGACCACTGTCGTCAGAACAGATCGCCGGAGAAGGAGACCGGAAGACAAGGACGCCGTCTGGGAACCGCCGCGCAAGCGAGCAAGACGTTGACCTTCCCCCCTTCCGTTCTCGAGGTTCCAATACTCCTCTTCTACCCCGACGAAAGAAAAGCCTTTGCCGACAGAAACCGAATTCCTCCACAACGAACGAAATGGCCTCCCTCGTCTCCCTCCGCGGCCTCCGCCCAACCCTCACATCCCTCGCCCCCGTCGCGACACCAAGCACCACCACCACCTCCCGCGCCCTCTCCACCTCCGCGCCACTCGCTGCCCGCAAGGCAACCTCCGGCGGCACGCCAGAGTACGCCAACCGCATCGCCAACATCCGCCAGCACCTCTTCTCCCAGCCCCCTCCCCCGCTGCGCATGGCCCGCAACCGTCACCTCCGCCACTGGACCATCCACCGCGCCTGGCTCCTCCTCCAGCGCCAGCAGCGCGAGGCCCGCGAGCGTGAGCTCTCCCGCCTCCACAGCAGCATGTACACCGCCAACGAGGAGCTCCGCCGCACGGCCGGCCCCGGCACCCGCGACGAGGGCTGGCTCTACCGCGTCGCGCAGGAGAAGAAGGGCGTCTACGGCCCCGGCGCCATCCCCATCGAGTACGCCCGCCACCAGTCCGAGACCCCGGCCCGCCAGGCCTGGAACCACGAGTGGAAGCGGTGAACGAGGAGGGCCTCGGGGCCCCTGGGGATGCTTTTTATGAGAGAGGAAATATGTAAAAGTGAATGGGTGGGAGGGGATTTGTTCGAAGAGAGAAAAGAGGACGGCATGCAAAAGCCGTGGATAAGGATAGACCCGGACGAGAGAGACTTGCGCGTCTTCTTCCATGTACCACCATCACCACCTCGTGTCATTCTACAGTACCATGCTGTAGAAGTGGCCTTTGTACAATGCGGAAAACAAGAGTCAAATAATGTCATGTTTCGAAGCAAGTTTATGAATCGCTTTCCTTCTTCAATATTTGTTGCGTAAAGTGACTGTTACCTCTCCTGTGCAGGGTAGATGAAATACGATCCCTCCCCGACATCCCAGACCAGCCTTCCCTGGCTTGCACTTTTGGGTCGTTCTATGTTACGCTATCCTACTAATACATACTATATCTCAAAGACGTCTCCGCTGAGTTTTCGCGCTGTTTCCCGCTCATTATGGCGCCGCTGAAGGAAAGAAAATAATCAAACCAGAATAAAGGAGGGAGGAGGGGCGTTAATAATCAATCCGCATGATGAGCGCTGTAAGTATGAGATGGCTATGTCCAAGCAAGTCGTCCGGGAGTGCTTTGCATTACGATGTGATCCCGGCATTTGTGGTGGTAGGGTGTGGGTGTGGTGCCTATATGTGCTAGCCGGCCGTCGTATGACCGGTCAACCTTGATCGGCGGACAGCAATTGTGTTTCGAATTGTAACACACCCTCCCCTGCAGAACTCGACGAATTTCGTTTCTGTTCGCTATTTCGTGCCCGCACTGGTGGTTGATCGGAAGGGCGTAAAGTGGATGGCGAGGCTGCGTTCGCTCACAGAATGACACAGCAGCCGCCTCCTTCGCCCTTTTCAAAGGTCAGCAAGGCGGCGCGCGTGGCAGCTTCGAAGACGTCGTCGACTCCCTCGCCGCTGAGACTGGAGCACTCGAGGTATTTGCGGGCACCAATCTCCTTGGCGACAGCATCGCCCTCTTGGTGGTTGACGAATCGCAACGACTTCTTGCGCATCTCCTCAATGGCGACAGGATCTTCGCGGAGGTCTTTCTTCAACCCGACGAGAATGATAGGGACGCCAGGGCAGAGACGCGTAACCTCTTCAACCCACTGTAACCAATCGTCAGTTCTGGGCCCAAAAGCGCCGGGGGCCTACAAGCCAAACCGGAACGAACCTTGTGCTTGACGTTATCGAGAGAATCAGGGGTGTCGATGGAAAAGCCGATGAGGATGACATGAGCTTTGGAATATGCCAGGGGACGTAGCCGCTCGTAGTCCTCTTGCCCGGCGGTATCCCATAGCGCCAGCTGAACCGACTTTCCATCTACTCTGCAGTCCGTGACATAGTTTTCGAAAACGGTTGGGATCTATAGCTCAGGGTCGGTTAGGGATTGGTCGGGTGGGAGAGGAGATGGGGGCTGGTTATGGGACTAACGTAATGCTAGAAAAAAAGAAAAAAAAAAGGTCAGCAAAGGGCCATTAGAATCAGGCTTCAACGCGAGTCAAAGCGGACTTACTGTAGGAAAATAGCCTAGGGTGAAGACACTCAGCAGACTAGTCTTTCCGCAAGCACCGTCACCGACAATGACGAGTTTCCTATGGGCGGTTAGTCAGCAATGGGGAAAAGTCCATAGACGGTTCGGCGTATCGAGACTGGCCGGCTCGACAGCATAATAGATCTTGTGAGCACGGCGCAATGGCCTGCCACAAGGTCATGGTCTTCAGGAGTTGGGGTAGAGAGTGCGGCGCGAAGTGGACAGTGCGGCCGTACCTGCGAATGACGTTCTGGGCGTTGTTTGCTGCTGCCATAGCTGCGATCGTCTACCGGACCGAGGGAGGGGAGTGTGGAGGTGGATATCGACTCGAAGTCAATTGGAAGACTGATCGAACCGTCTGCAGCGGGTCTCGGTGTTGAGCCGCAGGGCGGACAAAGCTAACGAAGCTGATCGAGTACAGACAATAGGGGAGCGGCGACGGGCCCGCGCGCGAGGCAATCGACGAACGTAGTCAAGATCGTAGTCGGTGGGCTCGTATGGGGTGTTGCCGTAGAGTCGTTTCGAGGGGGGGGGAGCGGTGCTGGGAGAGCAGCGCCGTCGAGTGGTAGGTGATGGTTGCTGGCTCTAAGCAATGCTGCCGGTCTTGGAGATGGTGGGTGTATGGGATAATATCTTCGTAGGCGGGTGGAATTAGACCAAAATAGAAGACTGCAAATAGGGCAATGGCGGATATGTCAGAGGGAGAAGAGGCGAGTAGCGGAACGATGAGATTGGAAATATGCGAGAAGATGGACAGAGATCGGGCCGAAGGAGAGAGAAAGGGAAGAAGGGAAAAAAAAGCAAGGCGATGAGTAAACAGTATCGGTAAAGGTAGGTAGGTATGAGGAGGAGGGTGTGCTTGTGTTTTTTCGGGTGGAGGAACGGCAGGGCGACAGGAGGTGTGAGAGAGAGGGACGGGCGCTAAGTGAAGGCAGTGTGAGGTCCGGTAAGGCAGCTAACGCGTGAAAGCTTTGCAACCAGTAGGTGGGAATACGAGAAGAAGCGAACACACCGGGGGTTAACGGGGTTTAAAGAAACGGAACATGGAATTCGGGAGAGGCAGAAGAAGAGAGTAATAGAGCAAGAGAGCAAGAGTAGATAATTCAATGAATCCAGTGGAAATGGACGGGGAAGAGAAAGCCGGGGTGCAATTTGATAAGATACAATAAAAAACGACATTATCCGTACGTACACACTAAAGAAGCTGCTGCTGCGAGCAGCTACACTGCCCACTAAACTCTGTACACTCGAGCTGAACTAGACTAGGTAGCACAGCAACGAGGGTGAAAAGTCCAGGACTTCAGGACTCCAGGACAAGGTCCAGGGGGGTAAAGGCATAGTACGATGTACCTGGCGCGCCGGGTCGGCGGAGTCCAGGTGGGTGGGACGGGTATCCCACCACCACTACCACCACAACCTTCACCATCATCACCTCGTCCACCATCACGCACAATGTGAGTGAGATACATTGTTATGCATGAAAAGAACGGCGTATTAGCCTCTCCTCCTATACTCTCTCTCAACCACCAACTCTGGTCAGAACCTGGGGCTGACTGTTGACCGGCAACATGATGCCGACGCGACTAAGATATCGTTTGATCTGATCACCGGGCAACATCGTGTGGCGGTTTTGAGAATTTCAAGCTCAAGGCCAAACGAAAGAAAGACCTAGGGGCCGGTGTCGGCAAAACCTCTGGATCAGTCAGTGGAAGAGATATCTCTTACCACACCATGTCGTCGAGCGGTGAGCGTGCTGAGACGATCTACACAGATCCGTGCCCACGGTGTACAGTAAGTGGCAGTGTACGTACGTACGTATGTAGACCTCTGACAGCCATCGTACCTATCCACCAATGTTTGCTTAGCTTTGCTTGTTACTTACAGGCGTACGATGTACATAAGCTACAGAAAATCAGATGCAGGCTATCCACGAATTGTCAAACCTAGCTTGAACTTCCAGGGAAGCTAAAGGAGCCCAAAAACCGCGGAAATCGGCCAGTCACGCCGGTATTATGGTAGGTACACTACTTAGTATGCCTCACCTTCATGCATCCTCCCCTCATTCCGCCGCTCCGCCCCAGGCCGCGACTCCGGAAAAGCCCACCCGCGTGGGTGCGCCGGGTGGTGCGTGTGGTGGCACAGCAAGAAGATACCGTGCCTCGAAGAACGACACTTTCAGGGTCACTCCAGGAAGAGAAGAAAGGTAAAAACGAAGGGGGGGGAAAAACAAGGGACGAGGACGTCAGACGCATTCGGATGCACCCTTTCTGGGCCCCTAGGACCGCCCGGCCCAGTACTTTACGTTCGATGCGACGAGCCGGGCAAAAGTCCCAAAAGTCCCCAAAGTCTCAAAAGTCCCATCATCATCATCATCACCACCAACACAGCAATCAAGTGGTCCGATTCGGCTTCTCGGTGCGGCCGGTGCGGGGGGCTGACATCTGAGCTGATCGAGAAGAGAGGGAGAGCAAGGAGAGAGGGACGGAGAGCCTGCAACCCTCGAACCCCTACCAGCCAGCCGCACCAGTTGCAGCGGTGCATGAGAGGTAGATGGGGGAACCATTCCGGGTACCGCCAACGCGGCCAAGAAAGGCACGCACGAACCTAGCCTGGAATCTCACGGCCCTATGGAGCCATGACAGACAACACAACACAACACTGTCCTCCCCCCTACGTCAGCACCCGTACTTCGTGCACACGGCGCGTCGTGCGTTGGGACCAAATTTGACCATGGCCGGCCCATGGGATGAGATGGGGTTCCGGGGAGGCTGAGTTGACGGGTGGCATGCAAGGCAAAAAGCCTTCGAGTCGTAGTCGGGGTGCTGCCCCCTCCCCTCCCTCCCCTATCCCCGTTCCTAATTGTCGCCCTCTGCTATCCAGCATTGTCCAAAGATGGGATCGCCGTGCTGTCAGGTACCGGAGGCCAGAAAACAAGCTCTTCCAAGAAACAGCGCGCCCGGATTCCGCCATGATCGTCCTTCGATGCGTTGTCTCCTCGCCAATGAGGTTGGAATAGAACTCGAAAACCGGCGACCGATTCCAACAACCAAACCAAGACACCTCAGGACGGACGTTGTCGCCGCCCGAATGGCGGATCCATCCGCATAGACACACCCACTACTCCGTACCCGACTTCCATTCAGCATCGAGGTCGCCCTCAGTTTTTCTTTTCCTTTTCTAAATCAGGCTGCGGCTGCATTCTCTGCCATGTCATCCCCCCGCTCTTCCTCGCGGCTCGCTCGCGGAACGAAATGCAAATTGTCAATAAGGTTTTCGGGAGCCGATGGCCGAACCAGCGGGTTGCGTCGAAAGGATTCCAGCTTCCGGGTTTCCCTGCATCGTCTGCTTATCCTCGTCTCGGCATATGTCGATTCACTGTCTCTTGTCTCTTCTGGTGTGTCTCCTTTAACATTATCCCCACCAGCCGCCCCCCTTGGCAATCAGTGAAGGGATGGACCCCGTCCTCGTCCCGCAGGCACGCCTAACGTTTTTGTCCATACCTCCGCGCTTTCGGTCAAGACAGGACTAGTTGGCCGACTGCGGTCGTTAGTTAATAGCTTACATCATGTGTTGCGTACCTGTACCTGTAGGTTTGAGAAGACGCATCTTCAGACGCCGTTACGGCACCGATTGCCCTGCCTCGACCGGGTCTTTTTCCTAACTGTCTTGTCCCCCTCACCTCAATTGTCGTCATACGCAGCGCTGGAACAATAAGGGTGGCGCCATCCGGCAGCCGAAGTGCGGCTACAGGGCGGCGCACGCCAGCCCAGAAGGGGCCATCGGATTGGCAAAACCCGACCACACCTCCGTGCGCCGTATCCCCGTCTCGCTGCGCGATCACCCACACCATCACAAGTGCTCTGCTCCTTCGTCCGTTCAACGTTTGCACCGTCTTGGATGTGCTGCTGTGCTGTTGTGGTAGTGTATGATATCGCGCAACACTGCAGTCCCCCATCTGCAACTATCCGGCGTACGAGCACGTAAAACTACCATGAACCACCCCTGCTTGGTGCAGGATCTCCAGGGGTAGGAGCAAACTCAGTATGGAGCGGCTGTCATTGTGTCCAGTCAGCTCTTTGAGCATAGACGCGTCTTTGGCGCACAAGTAAGCGTTTCTTGCCAGGGTCGGCGAGGTATGGATATCCGCCGTGTTCCTGACAAATTCTTCGTCCTTGAACCATATGAGTGATCAGACATGGGTCTTACAAGTATCCCAGGAAAATGAGGCTCAACCCCAGGTATAATTGCTCATTATGGAGCTGCAATCAGGTGAAGAGAATGATCCTTTTCTTTCCTTTGCTTTCGCTTCAACACTCGGAGTGGAGCCTGGCGGCATGCAGCATTGGCGTGAGCATTGTCTGTTTGCACATATAGTTGGCCACAGCCCGCGCAACGCCTCGGGACAGGTGGAATGTTTCCCTGATCTCGGCCCAGTCCCGCCATTGTGACGCCGCTAGTAGTTAGCCTCGGGAACGACGGATGAACATACGTTTGGGGTACCAAGGATTGGCTGGCGACGCCCACAAGCAGCCACTGCCAGTGGTGCATGGTCCTCGAGGAGAGTATCGGGTTTGACAGTGCTGGCGAGTGTCGGATGATTGGAAGGTACGAAAGCTTCGTGTAAGGTAATGTATCACGGGGGAGATGCATTACCAGCTTGTGGCACGGGGGTTTGCGACGACTGAGTTGGAATCGCAGAACACCCTGACGAAGCAAGGCTGGAAAAGTGCAATTCTCCAGCTCTCCGCGTGGGAGAAAGAGCGAAAGTGGTTGACGGTGCGTTTCTCTTTCTCGCAACGGGAGGGTAGGTGAAGTGAGACGACGTACGGAAATACATGGTAGGTGATGGGATGACATCAAGTCATGAACCCCCGGTAGGTAGCATGCTGGTAGCAGTGTACCAAGTACAAGTACGCAATGCATATTCCAAAGTCAGATTAGGTAATATGGAGATGGGGATAGGGATAGGGATAGGGATGGAATATCTGTCCGGGTTCTCAAAATCGCATCTCAGCTCAGATGAGGTCGCGAATGATTACGTCAGCTTTGCGAAGGAACAGTCAGGTCGAATGGCTGAAAGGCTCCACTCCTCCAGCCCTCAGTACGCACAAGTACTTGGTACCAGTACTGGCCAGGAAGAGCTAGCTTGCCAGCCGGATGGGTTGATGCCAGCGGGCAAACAGTCACGTGGACCACAGGCACAATGGCACACTGCAGCCTCGAAAACTGGTTGACGGGGGTCATACACCACTACCTAAGGCAAGTAGGTATTACCTAGCTAGGTAAGTGTCGAGATACGGATGCGTACCCATGGATTTGGCGAGTGCGGTACACCAACCTGTCGACTGGCGTGTGTGTGTTGGGGACTTGTTGGCGTGGTGTGCCTGTCCTTTTCTCATGGTCATATACCCCTCTCACACAACTGCGCCAGTGAGTGACTTTTTTCCCATTCTCAATCCGACGCCCATTCACCTACCTAGGTAGGTACTTTACCTACCTACCTTACCTGGGTATTGCTAGGTGTTACCTCTATATACCTAATCATCATCTCCATCGTCCACCTGATCTTCAACAACGAGCCAACATTGGACCTGGGATGGATGGCTGACGACTTGGTTTGTTTGTTTCCCTTGGTCCCTCGCTGGAATGAAGTTGGACCAGCCAGAAGGGTCAGAAAACCCTCCAACCAACAGTCTCCGATATCAGCCAACCCGCATCATCGTCGTCGTTGCCAAAACCACTAACTAGCCTTGCGACTTGCCTTGTCTATTGTTCCCACCCACGACATCTAGATATCTTCTTGCCAATCCATATTTACTGGAGTAAATACCGCTGGTTGCCAGTGATGTCCTATCTTCATTTGTCCTGTGCCGTGCTGTGCTGTGCTGTGCTGAATGTCCCTCCCTCCGGTGTGCGATGCCTGCCACATACCTACAGGGAGTTATAGGTACTTGGGTACGCTACCGCACTATTACAGTACCCTGCTGCTGTCCCTTGGCAGATGAGTGTGTGGCTGAACCCAGCCCCATCTCGAATAATATTCGCCTCCACCAGTGAGTGAGTCCTGCCTCATCACCACCACCACCACCACCACCACCTACCTTTGTAGCCTGCCCTGCGCGCTGTACCCCGATTCCGCCTGCCATTTTCGCGAGCCGCTACCTTTACCCACAAACGCCCTGCCGCCCAACCCAACCAACTTCTCACCAAGAGGGGCGAAACGTCTCGTTTCGATTTTACTCACCCATCTCGACATAGCTTTACTTTGCATCTCATTCAATCGCCCCAGGCCCGACCGATCGCGAGCCCGCCCGCCGAGCCCCCGACCTCGACGACTCTTACTCTCCCTCTCAACAACAACCCCTCCCCTCCGACCAGACCCGTCCCTCCCTCCCTCTCCCTTCCTCTCTCTTTCCCTCTCTCTCTCTCTCTCCCTCTCTATGACATCCACGTTTGTTGCTTGGTAGCATAGATTCGACATGCCGGCCAACCACCGCCAGCCGGCATCACAGACGCCTGCGTCTCCCAATACCAAGGCCACGGCTCGCTACACGAACAAAGATGGCTCCAAGATCATTACTGTGCCCAAGGGCCCCCCCTCCACCGAACCCTCGCAGCCTTCCACCCCGACCTTGTCGGCAAGGCCTCCGAGTGTTCAGACCGCAGCCACCAATGGCGCCGACTCCTCCGTCCCTACCGTCAATCGCAAGAAGCAGAAGCGTCGCGCAAAGGCTGCCGCCAAGGCTGCTGCTGAGCAGGCCGTCGCCCAAAACCCCAATGGCCGCTCAAGTCCCGCATCTGGAACACCTGGCGCACCCGCCTCCAAACCTCAGCTTGCTCAGGATGACGACGACCAGGATTCCAGCGACGACGACGCCGACGAACACCACGACCCCGACGGCCACTCACGTGTAAACGGCGTCGCCTCGGCCAAATCGTCCAAAAAGTCAAAGAAGAAGAAGAAGAAGAACGCAAAGAACCAACACCTTGCCGAACCCCACTTTGACAACGTCCCGTCGCACTCCCACTCGCCATTGACGCCCCGTGGGCCTGGAATTTCCAAGGATAAGATCTGGAACACCAGCTCGCAGGAGGAGAGGGAGCGCATCAAGGAATTTTGGCTTGGCCTGGGCGAGGACGAGCGCAAATCGCTGGTCAAGGTCGAAAAGGACGCCGTCCTGAAGAAGATGAAGGAGCAGCAGAAGCACACGTGCAGCTGCACCGTCTGCGGCCGGAAGCGCACCGCCATCGAGGAGGAGCTGGAAGGCCTTTACGATGCCTACTACGAGGAGCTCGAGACGTTTGCCAATAATGGGGAGGGCCCCCATATCCTCCCGCCTCACCGCGAATTCCCCCTGCGACCCTCGCGCCTGCCGGCAACATACTCGGGGCAACCGCCGTCGCGTGGTCGCATAGTGGAACATGTCGGCGACGATGACGAGGACGAGGACCCCGAAGAAGAGTACAGCGACGAAGAGGACGAGCTCGAGGACGAGGAGGAAGAGGAAGACGACGATGAGTACAGCGAAGAAGACGAACCGCCAGAGGATGCTCACCCTCACGATCGAGATGTGGCCGACTTCTTGACGTTTGGTAACAGCCTGCAAGTCAAGGGTATGCAGCTTCTGGACTCTCTACTCTGCAGATATGGTAACATGGACTTAGGCGGCATACTCACCGTTGCGGATGACCTCCTCAAGAACGACGGCAAGCGCTTCATCGAAATGATGGAGCAGCTCGCCGAGCGCCGCATGGCACGCGAGGAGGACGCCAAGGAGCACTTTTCCCGCGCCTACGGTCATCCCGCCAACGGCTCTTACTCGAATCATAACCATCCTCCTCCCGAAGACGACTACGACGACGAGGACGAGGAGGAGGATGAGGACTATGATGACAGTCAAGAAGAGGAATACGAGGATGAAGAAGTGAGCTCCTCTCAATACACATATGACCATAAACACTCGAGTACTGAGCATTACTGTTGTCATCATCAGGACACGATGACCGAGGAACAGCGCATGGAAGAGGGTCGTCGCATGTTCCAGATATTCGCCGCTCGCATGTTCGAGCAGCGCGTCCTGACAGCCTACCGGGACATGGTCGCCAAGCAACGCCAACAACAGCTCATCGAGGAGCTCGAGGAGGAGAACCGACAAGACGCCCAGCGGAAAGCAAAGAAGGCCAAGGAGAACCAGAAACGCAAGGACAAGGCTGCGCTGAAGAAACAGCAGCAGGCCGAGGAGAAAGCGCGCAAGGAGGCTGAAAAGGCGGCCGAAGAAGCCGCCCGACTCGAGGAACAGCGAAGAAAGGCCGAAGAGCAGCGACTGCGAGCCGAGGAGAAGCGCCGCAAGAAGGAGGAGCAGAAGCGTCTCGAGGAGGAAGAACGCCTCCGGAAAGAGGCGGAGCGGCAAAAGCGTCTCCAGGAACAGCAAGAGAAGCGCGCGGAGCAGGAGCGTAAGGCGCGAGAAGCCCGAGAAAAGGCGCAGAAGCTGAAGGAGGAGGCTCGATTACGCGAGAAGGAGAACCGAGAGCAGAAGGAAAAAGAGATGCGGGAGCGGAAAGAGAAGCAAGACCAGGCCAAGCGCGACAAGGAGGCTAAGGCCAAGGCCGAACGGGAAGCCAAAGCCGACAAGGAGAGCAGCGAGCGGCTCAAGCAGGAAGAGAAGGCGGCGCAAAAGGCCGCCACGATCGCCGCCGCCCCCATCCCCATCCCCAACTCGGGTCGACGTCCGTCGCAACACCCGGTGCCGATCCCGACGCACACTTCCAACCCAGCATCATACGCATCTCCAAAGATACCCGTTGCGACGCCGGCTTTGCCCAAGGCTCCAACACCGATCCGCCCCAAACATGCGTCCCAACCCCTGGAAACCAGCTTGCCGGGATCTCAAGCTTCGCAGTCTGGCTCCACTGCCAGCCAGAACCCGTCACCACATCCCGCCACACCCGGCCACACGAGCCCGGCGCCGATTGGATCTCGGAAGACCAGCGTGGCGACCACGAGCTCGCTACCGCATCCTCACTCCGTATCGCCGTCGAGTATCAAGGGACCCATGCAGGCGGGTCCGTTCGGCATGCCCATGAGCATGCCCCCTCCCGGCTTCGGAGGGCCGCCACCTCCAGGGCTAGCGAATCGCATTCACGATCCCATCTTCGGCCCGCCCGGTATTCCTGGCTTCGGCCGACCGCCGCCGCCACCTGGAATGATGCCCTGTCCGCCGGGGCTTAATGGGCCCGCGGGACGCGGCTTCATGCCGCACCCGCCTCCCGGATTCGGACAGCCCATGGGCGGCGACCCGATGCACAACATGGCGCCAGGGCCCGCGACACACTCGAGGCAGGCCTCTGGGAGCTTCGATCCGGCTTCATCGCCGGCGCCGGCACAGCCCATTGGAAGACCAGCACCCATCGGACGGCCCGGCAGCGTGGTGCATGGACAGCGCAACGATCAGCCAGACGACTTCGCCAACCAGCATCTCGGTAGCAGCGCTCTGCTGGACGACGCCGAGGACCCGGTCAATGCGGCTATGAACGCGGCTAGGCATCGCAGCCAGGTTCCGCGACCGGCGTTTCCGACCATCCCGTTCGTCGGAGGCATGGACAACGGATTCCACAACATGCACAACAATGTGTGGGGACCGTCACCGATGGGCTTCGTCCCCCCTCCTGGGCTGGGCAATCCCACTTGGGGCGGTCCGATGATCCCGCCGATGCCGCCACTCGGTCAGATCCGCACGGCCGGAAACCCTCGTTCGGTCACGGTCCGCCTGATGCTATGCCGCGCCTGCAAGGAGCTGCAGAACCGCAACGCCGACACCTCCGACTCGTTTGTTGACTTGGCGGCAATCAAGGCCGAGGTGGATCAACTCAGCGGAACGGAGGTCATATCGGAAGAAGATCTGTTGGAGCTAGCCGAAACGGAAGGCAACCCCCAAAACGGCGGAGGCACCTTTGAGATTCGACGAAACGCAAACGGTCCCGGCCAGCACTCAGTTCGGTGGGTGCCCGAATTCAACGACATGACACACCCTCATCACAGAGCGGTCGGCGCTCCAGGCGAGATCGGGAGCCCCATCACCGGCAGTGGCACGGCGGCATTCTTGGCTAGGGGGCAGTAGGCCCGTCCATCTAGCGAAGGATCGGGGTCTGCGTCTTCAACCGATAGCCTCGGCACGTCGTCGGACAGGCTCTCTCGAGGAATGTTTCACGCCATGCAGACGGGCCGCATCAACAGGGTCACCAGGAGTGTGGGTTACGTTGGCGCAGAAAGGAAGAACCAGGCCAAGAGAACATGTTGATTCCGTGGGAGGAGGACGTGGTTCTGGTGGGAGAGTTGATGTGGGAACTTTCTTTGAATCTCAGTAATCGAGCCGCCTCGGGCTTTTCTTTTGCCCGGATACCTGCCACGCGCAGAGGGGCCAGCCGTTCCAGCCAGCCTCCATGGCGAAGCGATGCACCAGCGTTAGCCAATAGACTACCTGTGTTCTTTGTGCACGAAGTTTTTCTTGCTGATGGTTTGGTGCGCCACCTTTACAACCCAGCATCTGATGGACATTTCTTCGCAAAGCAAGTGGATATCGAGTAAACAAAACGTCACCACGATAAGACGAACTGGAAACAGGCCATGCACGCACAACCCAGACGTCCCCGCCGCCCACTTTTGCTCCCACCCCCGATCTAGGTTACTTATAAGCTTGCTCACTTGCACAAACAGAAAAAGGAAGAAAAAGAGGGGGGGGGGGGGACGGAAAACATGAAACGGAGGACGGGAAGTAGCCAGGGCCCGGGCCGAACGAGACAGGCTTCCCGGAAGGGGGAACAGGAGCCATCAACCCCCTCTAAACGATTCCCAAGAAGCCGGTTTACCCCGGCTAGCTTGCTCAGTAATTATACCTCAGTAATTATACCGCGAGAGACCCTTGGTCCAGAGGTCGTCGCGTGATTTTCAACCCGTAAAGGTACGTCGGCGGCATATAAGCGAAAGCGGGAGAAGGAGGTTAATGGTCGCGATGGATCGTCTCAATATACGAGATAGCCGCGTCGGGCCCAATTCCTTCTTTTTCCTTTTTTTTTTTCGTTGGGCCAGTTTCTTTTTCTTTTGCCCATTTCGCTTTTTTTTTTCCTGGACTTCCTCTCTCTCTCTCTCTCTCTTTCGCAGGGGGCGGCCAGGGATGACCGAGACAAAAGAGAGGCCCAGGTTAGCCCTACGCCCTTTTGTCGGAAGCCGGGCCTCTGTCTCGTCCTCCCTTTGTTTCGTTCACAGACGACAAGGGAGAGAGATGGTCTATCTTCGCTTGACCAAGCTTTGGACCTCGGAGCCTACGACCACTACGAAGGATGGCTGCTGTGGACGTGGGCAAACGCCCTCGTGATGAGCAGACCTCACGGATATGCCCTCCCTTTTTTTCTATTTTCCCCATCAGCGAACACAGAGATAACATCACGACTATTTTTCAAAAAGTAAAACTCCAATTTCTATTGTCTATGTGGTATTTCTAGCCACCCCAGGTCGTCAAAGGTCATATGCGTGTGTGTATATGTGTGTGTATGTATGTGTGTGTGTGTGTGTGTGTGAACCGGATCCCTTACAGCATATAGCCAGTAGGCCCGGCACCTCGAACAAAAAAAAAACCCTCCCACCCCAAAATGTACCGTTTTTATACAGCTACCTCGTTCCACCCATCAGGTATCGTAAGTCTATTGGCTGTTTTGAGAAAAACAAAGAAAAGGGTAAATAAACAGTAACAGAAACAGGAGAAAGAAACCGCGTCTGTGAGACGGCTGCGCCGCTACAGTGTCGTGCAAGCATTAGGTACTACAGGCGAGAAGAATAGTAATAAGAATAGAAACATGTGGTTTCATATGGACAATTGGAAAACCCCAAAGGGCCGGCGTCGTGGTTTTCCCAGATATAGACGGCGGGGAATGGGGGAGAGAGATAAGAGAGGAAGAGAGAGAGAAGGGAGGGGGGGCTTAGATCCAAGCGGGGTGGACGCGCGCCTTGTTCTCAACCGGCGGCGACGACCGGGACAAGCGCTTGAGGCGGTGAGTCCAGGAGACGGGCCGCTTTGAGGAGGTCTGGGGGAGCTGGAGGAGGGCCCCAAAGGCCTCGCGGTCGTCCGCCGCCACCCGCTGCTGCGGGCGCGGCGCCAAGCCGCCCAGCGACTGGACGTCGTCCCAAGGTGTGATGGAATCCGGCGACCCGGCGGCGCCACCACCGCCATCGGCGTAGAAGACGGCGTCGTCGAACAGTTCATCGTTACGGGGGCCGAGGACGACGTCGGTGGACCAGGGGTCATGCTCGGGTAGGGCGAGAGGCGTGCCGGGGTGGGGGTAGGCGAGGGAGTCGGGCTCGTCGGGGACGGAGCGGGGCGGCGGGTGCGAGACTGTGGCGAGGGTGGTGTGGAGGACGGACCGGTGCTGGCCGAAGGAGCCGCGGTGCAGCTCGTTGTGGCCGCCGACGGTGAGCGGACAGTGATGGCGGAGCGGGCGGGTTGCGGGGCCGGGGAACACGGGGGGCGGCGGGTGCTCGGGGGACGAGAAGGAGGACTGGCCGAGGGTCCAGGCGGCGTGGAGCACGCGGGGCACGTCGGCGAGGTGCCGGCACTCGAGGAGCTTCTTGAGGTCGCCCGACGACCGCGGCTGCCACCGCAGCTGGTTGCGCGCCGTCTTGTCCCAGAGGGTGTGCTTCCACTCGTCCTTGAGGGCGCGCTGGCGCAGGAGGTTCTGTATCTGGTGGTAATAGGCCCACTCGGCCGACGGGGAGGCGCCGCCGCTGCCGCCGCTGGTGCTGCGGGTGTCGAAGTGGCCGGCGAGGTGGTCAAAGTACCTGTCGGCGGCGGCGGATGCGCCGCTGTCGTCCGCAGCCTCGAAGACTTCCTTGCACCCGAGGAAGCCGCAGGCGAAGACGACCTGGGCGCAGAGCTCGACCCTGACGCGGTCGGGCGGCGGGTGGACAATGCCGTGGTCGATCTTGTAGTGGGTTACGAAAGCCTTTTCGAAGTCGAGGACCATGCGGCACCCGCGCTGCGGGCAGGCCCAGACGCAGTCGGTGTTGTGGAAGTTCTGGAGGTGCTTCTTGAAGTCGCTCTTGCGGCCAAAGCCGACGCGGACGTCGTAGACGGCGCACAAGGGGCACTCGATAGGCTTGCGGCGGGAAGGGGACCGGACGGCGGCCGCGGCCGTCTTGTCGCGGGCCGGGGTGGAGAGGTGCTCGCTGATGTGGCGGTCCTCCCACTCGGTGCCGGAGAGGGAGGGCGTCGCCGACGGCGAGAAGAGGAAGGGGATGTCGTTGTCGCCGTCGCCTTGCCAGGCGTCCTGGGACTGCTGCTTCTGTTGCTGTCCGCCGTCGAAACTGCCGGCCAGGGAGGCGACGTCCGAACCGCAGAGGGAGGCGTCCGAGTTGCTCCAAGGGCCGGAGCTCGTCAGGGACGGCGCGCTCTGGTTGCTGCCGAAAGTCGATGTGGAGAAGGTCGAATCCCGCTCGGGGGTGTCTCGATATTGCTGTTGCATTTGCTGTTGCTGCTGCTGATGCTGCTGGTGGTGGTGATGGTGGTGGTGGTGGTGGTGTTGGGGCGGCGGCCGAAGCGCCGTGTGGTTACTGTTGTTGTTGCCGCCAAGATGACGGAGAGTGTTCTCCACGCTCCCCGACCCGTACCGTCCGGCGAGCTCGCGGAGGACCCGCATGTCTTCCGGGGACATGGCCGATTGTTCCGGGGTTGGGTACATAGTTTGAGCGTTCAGTCGCTCCGGGACTGGGTGCCTGACGTGTCTACGGTCTCATAGGCGTCTATCCGTCGAGCCTCCGAAGGGTAGGTTGTGGGTGTGTGTGAGAAGCTGTGAGAAGCTCGAAGAGTAAGAGTGGGCGAATAGGCAGCGAGCGATGGCCGACGTGTCCGAGTATCACCAGAGTGAGTGAGAGAAAGGCCGGTCGTCATGTAGCGAAAGGAAAGGCTCGAGGCGACACAAACTGCCAAGGCGAGAAACAACAGAACGGGTGCGTTTAGGGGATCCAATTAACAAGCCGGAAGAGGGGGGGAAACGTTCGGATCTTAAGCACGGAAGAGGAGCAGCGGATTCGACATTTTGTAGTGTCGGCCAAGAGACAACGTCAAAGGCCGCCCCAATGGCAGAAGAGACGCCAACGTCGTGTAGGGCACAGGCACCAATGGTGAACCGGGCGGAAGGGGCATTAGCAGCAGCAACGACGACGGCGACGCTACCGTGGATGTGGCCACTAGTTTCGACGCTGTCCGTCGCGGTGGTCACATCTCTCTGGACTCGCGCGTGTCCGGGCTGTGTGTGCGTGCGAGAGAGACGTGACTGACGCCTCCTCATTCGCATTAGCGCGGGCGCCGGGCTGAGGACTCAGGCCGCAATCTCGGGGCGAGGGTGAGGATGGTACGCGTTGTGCCTGGGGAGGGAGGGCTGCGGGGGAACGTCGAATCCCCAGATGGAGGGTCCCCAGATGTAGGGTCCGCCGCGGAGGCTAGAAGTGTCATTGACGGTTGGTTCTCGAACATCTTGTCGAATCAACATCTCAGGCTCACGGATCTGAAGGGCATTCCTCATGGGAGGGTAATCTCCGAACGGGCGAATGGCTGCTGGGTAACATCTCTCGTCAGCCCTCTCCCCCCCCCCCCCAACGAAGTCTTCCAGAAGCACACGGATCGCCTTAGTTGACGTTGGCTGAACACACGCTAGACGGAAGGCTAACAACCAATCGGCGTGGGCGCAAGGTGAAATGGAAGATTGCCCACCTGCACTGGAACTCAACCCCCTCCCCCCAAACTTGCACCGGGGGTGTCAGAGGAATCTCCTCGACGAACCAGGGAGTCAGGCACGGCAGCACTCCTCCGTCTCAACATGTCCGGATGACAGGTGCGTATTGTAAAAAGGGGGGAGGGGGAGACAGCCCGGTGGAGGCTATGTCTCTCAAGCTGACGTTCGCTCCAGCTGAAATGCCAAGCTGGGGAAAGCCAAGATCACTAGTCGGCTTCTAGAAGGGCGCTAGAACAAAGGATTGCGTGGCTCAACAAGGGGACACGCGAGTGACGACGGTGGTGACGACGGTGATGGGGGGTTGGTCGGCTTCTCGGATAGCGTCTATAGTCTGATGGGTTTTCCGTACAGACAGGCAGGCAGACAGACACACACTGGTCGCGATGAACCCGCCGTTGCCTCCGTTTCCGATAGTTGCCCGTGGGTCGGGGGCCGTCGACTCGACCAGGAGAACGGGTCTCGCCTGGCCCGCAGCTTGGGTCCGTCGCACGAGGAGAGAGGAACCGACGGGTGGCAACCGCTTATCATTTCCCCTTTCTCATCATCTTGTTCCATGGTCTCGTGGCAGTCTTTGTCTGCTCGCTTTGTTCTTGTGGTCGTAAGGAAGACACGCCAAGGCCCCGGTTTCTTTGTCGAGTCTCGCGTGGACGCGAATGGGCATCCGGGAGCCGTGTCTCTTATTGTTCTTTTATCGACGGTGCTGTCGCGTGCCCTTAGGAATTGTGTCATGGCGTCTCTCGCGAGAGACGGAGAGGCTTTCACGTGGGGCCGTTGAAGAGCAATCTCCTCCTCAGCCTCGGACTGCTACTACTGATGTAATAGTGCGCGTCGAAGTTTGGCTGAGTTGGTGAGTCGTTGAGTGCATATAACGAGGGCGAGGCCTTGACACAATCAGCCAAATATTAAGCCTCCTAGTTCCTATTGTAGGAAGCTTACCAGAGAGAGAGGAAGAGGACTGCACGATACATGGCGTCTCATAGCCCGTCCAATCCCATGTCTTGGCTGTTGGCGAGCAGGCTAGGTGAGATGAGGTAAACAAGATAAAAGAAAAGACGAGACGGTCTGTTCCATCCAAAATAAAGAGTCAGAGAAGCCTGCCTATCTCCTGGGCTCCGAAGCTTCTCTGGGCAAACCAACACTCGCTTTAGCCACCTCATCAGATCACAGCCTCGTCTCTTTACCCTCCTCTATCCCTGGAACCCATATACCCCTTCTTCCAGTCTCACATCGGTTCCTTTTCACTGCCTTGCTTCCTGAAAAGCACATCAGGAATGCCGTCCCTCCAGAGTTGCGAGTCGTCCGTTCATCCCCACAACATCGCCCCTCTCAGATCCTTGAGCGTACCCTGTTTATTGCCCGGATCCCTCCACCCATCCATCCCAGCAGCCTGGGACCGCCAAGCCCCCCCCACCCCTTCCTCCCCTCCCCCACTGAGGGAGCACGATTCGTGGTAGTGGCGGACCGAAGAGGCGGGGGTTAGCGGTGTTATCCTCCCATATACTTCAAGTCCGCCTCTCTGCCCTACAGACATTTAGCTCCACGCCAGCCGTATCCCTGGGATGATGCCCCGGGAGCAACCAAAAAAAGCCGAGGAAGGGAAGAGAAATGAAAAGAAAAAAAACTCTTCCCTCTCTTCTGCTAACACACTCGGTTTCTCATAATATGGTGTCGTCTCGTGTCCTTGTCTAACGGATGGCTTGGGAGAGAGAGAGAGAGAGAGAGAAGCTGCCGCTCGTCCTGCGCGAACCACGACATCGCCCATCTTGACCGTGAACCCCCATCACCGTCGTCTGTAGCCCCCCCGCCCCCTCCCCTTGTCAAGCTCAGGCTAACGAGCCCTTTTCCCGGATTCTCCCACCCCCGACCCTAGAAACCCCAGAAGCGATGAACGGTTTCTGGTCCCCGTCGACGGGTGAAACGAGATCAGAGACAAAGAACCCGCCTTGGCCTCGGTCGTGCCCACATCCTCGGTTTCTTCCCCCCCCTCGATCCCCTTTCAGAACGCAAGCCTCGAAAGACATACTTGAACAAGCACTTTGGGCGGTGCCAGTGTTGAGCAGCTGAATCTAGCCCCTCCTCTCCCCCATCCCCCATCTTCGTACAGCCGCGGGACCTGGGGGTGTGCTACGCGGTGAGACTGCCATCGTGAAAGGAAGAAGCCCAACCGTAACCGTTGCCACATATCTACCGTGCATGACTCAAACTCCCGTCTAGACGAGCCGTTGCACCTGCTCCCCTAGGTATCGCCTCCGGCATCTTGCTAAATCCTCTGGCTCTGGGAGACTCCGGCTACGCGACATGACCAAGCAAAAGGAGTTACACGGGCATGGTTGACCCAATGACCCGCTACACATAGCATGGAAAGTTTGTCGTTCTTGAAAAATGACTGGGCGTTTTCGTCTCGTCTAAACTTAAAGTATCAAGTGTGATGATTAGGTTTCTTCCGTCTCGTCGGTGAATTGTAGCACGCGACACGTCTGGTAGGCCTCATAAGGCTCTCTGCCTGGATGCTACCGTTGTATTTTGTCCATCCTTCTCTCGCCAACTCTATTACTGGTCTGTAATACATCCCTGCATCCTACTACCTCGTCCCTTCTAAAAAGAGTCCAACCATCTTTTCTGTGCCAATATACTCGCTCGTCAAAACGACCGCCTTGGAACGACCATGGGTCAGTGACCGATCATAATATACAGAATCCCCCACTTCCCCTCCAGTCGTGTATTGACGAAGTCCATACATACAGCAAACAAAGGAAAAGTGGCGGTTGATCGTTGTTGGGTATATCATCTTCCTTAAAACTCCGACAAGGTAAAAAGAGAGAAAGAAAAAAGTGGAAAAGAAAAGACAAGAAAATAAGGGAGAAACAATGCGCGAGATGAAGCTGAGGTTTCAGTTTAGCATGCTTTTGAGTGGTCATCCATAACAAATACACCGGACCGCTCATCGCTTTCTCAAGCAAGTCGATGCCCAACCCGGACTCTCTTGCGGCCGGCACTGCTGGTGAGGCGGATAGAGTAAAGCCCTTGGGGTCGCTGATTAATAGGCTTGTCCGGGCGGAAAGAATCCGTCTGCGTGGCCTGGTATTGCTGGACTCGCGAGGCTGGCTGCGTGCGGCGCATACTGCGACGAGAAATCCGCCATCATTCCTGGATCCTGCATCTCCACGTCGGAGGATTCGGGCGTCCCTGCTGCCATGCTCCTTAAACTCTGCATGTCGTCTGCAATTATGCCGTTTTGGTGCATAGCACCGCTGCTTGACCCAAAGGCCTCGGCGTTGCTGTTCGGGCCGTATATCGATGACTCCATGGGCGCCTGAAAGAAGTGGCCGAGCGAACTGTGATTCTGGCTGTTGTGATGAGACTGCTGGTGACTGTGATGACTCGAATGGGAGGAGTGGGACAGCCGGGAGTGGCTCGTCATCGGATTTGACGACGGAACTTGCTGGTGCGGATGGTGTAGTTGCGGTGGCCTCACAACTCGCTGTTGTCTTGGCACGTAGACTCTCCGTTGAGATGCCATGTAGGCGGCGAGGGCAGGATTCGCGCCGCGTGATATCTTGAAAGAGAAAGGGTCGGCCGGCTCCGGGGCGGCGACACTCTGCTGCCGTGACTTGTGGCCTGGCATGTGCAAGGTGCACGTGTCGATAACGGGCGTGACAAAATCCTCGCGGAACTTGATGGGACCAGAGTCCGAGCCGAGCATGAGGGCATACTGCACCAGCAATTTAACATCGCCAATGTGACGGCATTCCAGTCGTTTTCTCAGTATTCCCGACGTTTGAGGGTTCCATTGAAGGGCAGCCCGTGACGCTTCGTTCCACACTGATTCGTTCCAAGTAGCCTGCACTTGGTTCTGTCGTAGCAGGTTGCGTATCCTCGCCGAGTACGACCATTCGCCGTTGTTGGAGCCCTCGTCGAAGTGCTTCACCACGTGGCTGACATACTCCTTGAACGTGGAGCTGGCGTCGGAATCGCCTTGTGCCTCATACACTTGTAGGCAGTTGTCAAAGCCGCATGCAAAGACCACCTGAGGGCAAAGATTGACCTTGGCCTCGTCCAGAGACATTCTGGAACCCCCGTGGGCCTGCTTCAAGTGGGTCTTGTATGCGCCTTGCCAGTCGAAAACCATTTGACAACCACGATGCCGGCAGAACCATTGGGCGTTGACGTTGTGGAAGTCCTCGATATGGCGCTTCAGATCGTTCTTCCGCGTGCACGTCTTAGTGATGTCCTCCTCCTTGCAGAAGCCGCACATGAAAGCGCCCTTCTGTTTCGATGCGCTCGTCGTGCTCGAGGCAGCGTCGGGCGCCGTGTTGGATGATGTGGGCACGTCGTTCCATGTTTCCTCCTGTGGGGTTTTGATGTCTTGTTGTGCTACCTGGGCCTGAGCCGCCGCCGTGGCGCTGCTGCTTTGACTCCGTCTACCCAAGATTTTGGACGTGCCCCGAGAAACATTGGAAATGATGCTGCCTGTGATGGAGGATGCGTCGGACGAGAAGGTCCTAACGCTCTGGGTATCCCAGACGCTCGAGTGGTCATCCGATAGAATGGATGATTGCGCAGACGACACGACGGAGGCATCGTCCGACTCTGCGGGTTGTCGAGTCAACGGAGGAAGCAGTAAAGTCAGAAAAAGCTGTACTCACGAGGACCTGTGGTCTCCTGGATGAGGCGGCTCAATTCGTCTGGTCCGTATCGGCCGAGTAGGTGCTTGATCATCTGTCGGTCCAGGACGATATCCTTCTGTGACAGCTGCCCAGACCGGTGAGAGGCGCCGTCGCCTGCGGGCCAAGCATTCGCCGACATGGCCCCGGTTATGCGTCGAACGCCGGTCGGATTATCCAAGAGCTAGATAGGAAGCGCACAAATGTATACTGAGGTGTCTTTGTTGGCGCGGACCGGTGAGCGATTGATTGGCTTGTCGATCGTGAGGTGCTCTATGTGATGGTATGTATCGCAGAAAAGATGATTGAGAAAGGAGTGTATCAAAGTCAGAACGGGGGTGGTGAGTATGGACGGTGGGGAGCAAGATTTCCAGGCGGCCGGGGGCCTGGGACCTAGCGCTGAGCGCAATGCGGGAATAATAAGTTGGTAGTATGGAAGGATGAAGCAGACCGGCGGGGGTGGAAATCGTTGCAGCTAAGTATCGGTGGCAGTGATGGAATGCGCCCCCTCCCCCGATTGATTGGCAAGGCCAGGCTGGCTTATGCTTGGTCGGAAGAGCAGGGTTGACACTCTGAGCAACAACAAGGTCGATGGACTGTGGCTCGAGGTGCTTGTCTCTCTGGACCTGCATCCGAATGGACGCGACCCGACACGGGATCTTCGTTAGTGCGGGCGTGAAGACGGAAAACGCTGGATCTTGGGCCTTGTCAGGAGAAAGGCAAAAGGATAATTCGACGATGGACGTTCGTACATGCCTAGGTAGATTCGAGGACGACAGTATCTTTCCCTGCGTTCTTTTGAACCGACGCTACGTAAGGCTGGCAGGGCTGGTCTAGTTGATAGCACGCGCTCGGTAGCTCGTGGCTCTCTCGAACCCAGGATCTCGGATAGGGGGGGTTGAAGAAGGGACAAGGTCAAAGCAAAGGCGACTGGCCGTTGGGTTTATGTCAGGGCCGCTGTTGAGTGTTGACGTGAAGGATCTTTGCCAGCTTTGGTGTGCCGGTCTCTCGGATCGCTCGTCTTTTATTGTTCTTCCCTCACTGGCCGATGATCGCCCTCTCGATTAGAGACCAGAGGATTGACGGACGAGAGAGTGCGAAGAGGAAAGAGAAGGAGAGAAAAGAGCCGTGGAAAGGAAGAAAGCCAGGCTGGTGTGCACTCGTCTGAGGGGAAATGCAGCGCAGCTACGGAGTAGTGCTCTCTTCAATCTCGCTGTCTCGATTGCTCTTTAGTCTGTCCTCCCCTGACAGCCTAGCTTGCGCGGGTTCAGACGGTCTTGGATTGGATGGGCTGCGCCAATATGGACGAGAGAAGGGAATCCAGAGCAGCCTGAATGTTTGGGGGCTTCCCTTTCCCTTTCCTTTCTTCCCTCCCTCCGCTTTCCTCCCACGTTGGCCCTCGCTTCGGCTTGGAGAAAAGTGGACTGCCCATTTTGTTGTGCTGCGCTTCGTTCAGGTCCCGATCCCCGTTCGTACATATCCTTTGCAACGAACATAGCAGTATTGGTAAGGTAGGGAAGCCGGGGTTGCAGCAGGGATTCGAGTGCCCTGGAGAGTGGAAAGGACCAATCCGAGGGAGTTCCAAACCAGGAGCCCGACGGGTTTCGAAGTGGGTATTGGTGGCAAGGAGATGCGATAACGAGATCGGTTTAGTGGACAGCGACGAGGAGGACGACGACGCCACCGCTAAGCCAACCAAGGATGGCCCAGAGATAAAGGCAAAAGGAAACAGAAATAGGACCGCTGCTGCTCCCAGGATGAGGCAGAATACTTGCAGGGGTGGTGGTATTCGTACGTACTGTGCCAAGCTCTGCTCAGCGCCCAGCACATCACAGTTACAGTTACAGCACGGCATAGGCAAGCTGTGGCCGTCGTTGACCAAGGGTGGGTGAGCCAAAGAGGCGATGGTGGTGGTTTTGATTGCGCTCGATGCAGGAGAGCTACGAGGGACCCCTGACGACAGGCCACCCTCCTCTCGGGATCGCGTTTGTCGGTTCGTTCCATCCGGGCCCCCCTCAGGGACAGACAGGACCAGTGGGCTGATGGCACTGGATTTCATCATAACGCTGCGCCAGTTTGAGAAGTGATATCGGCGTGAAGAGAGAGTTAGCCCAGCATGTCAGTCTTGATAGGCAGGCCCAGCGAAACCGCGAATTGCAGCGGGATGCACTCGGCCGACAGGGAGTTGTCATGTGGTTCGTCTGTACGAATATAGCCGACAAATGCTTCCTCGGGCTGGTAGTGAGGAAAAGGACGACATCAAGGAGCGAGGTCCGTTCCTGAATGCGTCAGTACCGGTATGCCTTTTCCAGAGTTGATTGATGGTCCGGACATGCAAGGTCGGGGGCCCTGTCAAGGGGGACAAGGCCATCGTCGCAAGACCCCTGAGGAGAGCAGGGCTAGTTTGAGTGGGATAGATAGCCCCGCGTGGGCGCCTTTGGCTTTGTCTGACTGCGGAACAAACACGTGAAGGAGGGAGGGACAAGGTAGGCGTCCAAGGTCAGCCAGCGCCTTAGGTGGTGTCGGCCTGAGATAGGTTCCCAAGGCAGCCCCTCGTCGGTAGTTCCAGGCGGAACTCGGGCGGCTCAACTACCTATACCATAGGCATGTTTTCTTGCTTGTTCCTTCGGCAGCGTGATATTGGTGGCCGTGGCTTCTTTTGTCCGACACACTTGCCTGTTCAGGCACGACGCGCATGAGAATTGTCGGCAGTAGATGACGAGAAGCGGGTCGATTACCTACTATCCGTACTACCTACCTATTTTACCTCGGCGGGTACGAATACCCAGTTGCCTAGGTAGGTAGGAACCTGGTGTTTCGGTACGTACCGCAGTGCCTCACTCATCTGGAGGAAAGCGCGGGGGAACCTGGCTGTTGCGAAGCACGGAAAGGGGGACGCATACGCCGGTGACACTTGCCCAAAGGCTTCAATCTCCCCGTAAACAGACAGACGGTGCAGAGTAGGCACCTGCCCAACTGTGGATATGGATACATTGTCTGGCAAAGTTAAGTCTGTACGAATATTTGGCAAGTAGCCCTCGCTTCCTGTCGCCAAGAAACAAACAATGAATGCGCAGACGCTTGAGTTGCAGCAAACACGGCATGTACATGCATGTACGGGCACGCACCTACACGCAAAGGCTCAGTTAGGCAAGCACTCGATGATACGACCGACCCCCTAGTTGCCTCACTTCACCTAACTTACCAGGATCACTCCGCAGGCAAACATCGCCGACGTACCATAGAAATGCGCTCTCAAAACTCAAATCCACTCGCCTCTCCATTCCGCCGCCTCCTTTCCACGATACCCCCTGGAGATACTGCAGTCACTCAACGGTTGCAACTCCCACCAAGAAACACCCAATTTTCCGACCACAAACCTTATTATCCACTGCCATGAACATCCATCCCGGTTCCTTTGCTCGCCCAAGGTTTTGAGCTATTCCATCTCTTGGGAATCCAGACATCTCCATCGGACAAACAGCAAAATCCGCGCTCCCGTTTCACGCCTGCTCTAGGCTAATCCCGCCTTAGTACAGAACTCGTAAGAATATGGCACTGCAGCAGGGGTACGGCAGTACCGCGACGCCCTGCAACCGGTGCTGTGCCCCCCCCCCCCCCCCTCCTCCAGGCTCATATTGATGATAATCACCATCAGCAGAATACCAATCCATCAACCTGCGACGACTTCTCTCTCTCTTTCTCGCTCCTCTCTCCTTCGCTACAGACTCGCCGCCACTATCGACAGTGCTGAAACGCGCCAGCTCATTCGACTCCCGACCCGGCCGCCCAGGGTTCAGACTCGCATACTTCGAGAACGCCGCTAACAGTTTTCCCACGACTCACTTCTTCGCGGCATCGAGCAAACGCTAACACATCTTTACTCCCGCTTCCGACAATCTCAGTGGCCGGTACGAAGTAGACTCGTTCTGGAACGCACAGAAGGGTACCTACCCCCTCCCCCCAAAGCGTGCAGCCGCTCTCGATCCCATGCATCAAATGACGCAATACCGCCCAGTCTTTCTATTCTTTTCTTCTTCTTCTGCCCGCGTCGAGGTTGGCCGATATCGCGGCGCCATGCCATTATGTCTTACACCGAACAATTACGCATTCCTTTTTTTCCCGTACCAGTCCGCCCCCAACCTGTGACTAGGGCGGGACCGGCCGGGTCCACTCATTGGCCGACCGGGTGGGGCTCTCCGCTTCATAGAGACCATCCACAATTCCGATCCACGACACATGTAAATGACAAAAGAAAAAAGCTCTGGCTGTGTGGCTGGTCCCGAGAAGGTGCTTGCTTTCAACGGACGGCTCATCTAGCGGTCAATGTCGACGAGAACGAAAACCAAGGTATACCCGACTACGGGGATCACTTCGTCAGACTGGGCTCTGTTTCGCGAACTGTTCGCCAGGAGAAGGGACATGTGTCTGTCAGCTTAATGGCGCTCGTCTCTTGGCCCCCAACAAACATATTTGTGTGCGTTCCGGTGTCGCTAATATCGGAGCGGCTGAAGGCACCTGCACTTCAGCCGCAACAATCTTACCTGCCAGCGAGCAATTTCCTTAGTCACTCTGCGCAGCCAATGTCCATCCACTTGGAGGGTGGGCAGTAAGCTTGCCTGCCGGCCTATAACATGACATAGTAGTATGGCCTCTGACTGTTTCCACGCGCTAAAACAGTCAAGCTCCGCGTCTAGTGCTCGACATCGTCAAAGAACGGATCTTACCTTACTCGCTCGGCAGGTCGTCCCGGTCAAGTTCCGTCGGTTACCAGCTCCCGACGGATGTCTGTCCTTCATTGTCGTCCCTGCGCACAGACATCTGCGCTTTTTTACCCGGGACAGAGCAGACTTTCTCCTGCTGACGAAACTAGACCCTTGGCATTGTCTTGTCTGTCGCCATCCCATCTCAATGATCTGGAGAAGACGCAGATGGCATCGATGCTGCAAAGCATCGGGTCGTCATTGTCGAGATCTCGAGATCGCCCACATGATCTGCCAAGTCCAACGGTCCGAGAGGCTGTCAGCCTGGAACACATATTCTCGAGTCGTACTCTAAGCCCCGGGTGCGCAAGTCAAACGATGCTTAAACTTTTGGTGAGCATTCTTTGAAAAGGGGAGGGGTCTGGGTTGCTGGTCCCCTTCGCGCCCACCGTATCTGTAGTTTCCACCTCCCATGCTCCGAAGTCTCCAAGCACACGGCTAGGAGCTTAATGTGTCTTCGGTATGCCTGTTCGTCCATCTCTTCCGACTCCGGTCCCCAGCTGGTTCGACATCGCTCTCTGCTAGACTTGCCGTGGGCTGGCTCGGCTTCGAGACCCAAGTTTCAAGCGGCAGGCAGCAGTGCCAGCCTGAATTCACGAGCTTCCCGAGGTCCTCGCCACGAGGTTCTGACCGCCCTTTTTCGTCTTTGGTTTCTTCGTCTTGGTCTTCTTTTCTTTTCTTCGCTTTGTCCCCTTCCCCCGTTGCCAGCAAGTTGTTTTTTCTTTTCTTTTCTCCTTTTTCCTTCCTTTTCTTTTCTTCTTTTTCTTCGGCAGTTCTTGCTGTTAGCGGCTGATGACTGAGTGGACTGACGCTTAGGCTTGGCCCTGTGAGCTGCGGTTCGATACAGGGTTTTGCTGTGTCCTCATCCAAGATATGTAACTGGCCTTTCTAAGCTCAATTCCTGGTACGTGGCTAAAGATCACGGCCTCTTTTGCTGACGCACATTTGTTCCCTTGATAAAAGGAGGTGGGCTTGTCGTAACTCGGTGACTTACTTCGCCGTCGTCTGCCAAGACGCTTGTCAATAAGAAGCACAAGAGCCGAAGGCTCATGATATTGAAGGAGTGTGAGACGAACAATATTTTCTATAATAAGTCTGTGTTGCTCATTCCGCCCAATAGCGTGCCGGCGTCGTGTATCGAGACCAAAGTTTTCCATGTGAATACGCAGCGGATGAGCTTGCCACGTCGGCTGACCGCGGCATCAATTTCCTGGGCCCGGCCCTCACCTCCCGGGGGCACCTGTTACTCTGTCCCATCCTGGATGTCCCTCGAAAGACGATGTAAGCGACCGTCCCAAAACCGTAAACTTGATGAGTGAAAAGGACGAGTTCGTTTACTCCCTGTATCGGTACCTGCGGCCTGCATGGCTTCCGGGGCTGGCCAGCAAAGGCATGCGTGCGCCGGCTATCTGGAACTCTAACTGGACATCAATCGCAACGACTTGACTCTCCATCGAGTTTACATGTCTGACGTGACGTGGATAGGGTTGATTTGTGATTGACTTGAGCTGTAGTTGCTGGAAAGCTAACCCGCAAATCATCTGTCGGACGTCGACTTTGTTTTGGCTGAGAGAGTCGACGGAGACCGTTCGTCTCGATTGGCCTTGTTCCTTGCAAAACCGTCCACCGCCCCGTCTTCATTCCAAGTATTCCGCATATATTAGAAAGTCAAGTTGAAGTATGGGCTCGAGCTGACCATATCTCCAGAAGGCGAATCATATCATTGAGAGGGTAAGACGACACTTTTTGTCGCCTAGAAGAATCCAGTCCTCAAGCGCTAGACTAGACACGCAACCTATGTAGTGGCCAGGTCCGAAATATTATCCATTGACTTTACTTGGTTTTGTAGACCAGTAGTGGTAAATGGTCTATGGAAAGCCGAAAAGATTTGTTCATGGAAGAGCTTCCTTGATCCAACAGAGGGAATCAAGAAGTACTCGCCAGGTTTTGAGGCTTTGCCTCGGTACTGCATTCAGAACTCTACTGCTCCGCTCATACCTCTCGCCAGGTGAATCTCTTCAACCACACGCCAACGATTTCAATCTCCGGGTCAAGCCCACAGCCATCAGCGCAAGCCGTCTATTTGCACACCCAGCCCTTGATGGGAGCATCCCAGAATAATGATTATTGGTGCGCTCGTGAAGGGGGGTTTGTATCGTTGGAATAAGATACCACAGCATATGTCATGTGTTGAATGGAATATTGCGACAGAAAGAGTCCTATCGGAGGTTGTTTGAGGGCGTGATGCTGTGTTCGATATATCCCACCGGACAGCGTCAAATCCGCCAACCTACTCAGCGTTCATGACACCGTCGGACCCGGTTCCTATCGACAATGTGTTCGTACAACTATCCCATTTCGTCTTGGTCAACTTGCCATTTAAAGTGAAGGTTCCACTGAATACCCGGTCTACGTCAGATCAGTCACGAGCGCCACTGCCGCATCAGTCGCAATCCGTCGCAAAGTGGCGTGCCCGAATATATGAATCAACTTACTTATGGATTGGCCTTCCTTAGCCGATGCCCCATAGACCCAAGCAGCCATTGCTCTCGAATGCAAGTGCAACCGGGCTGACATCTCGGGATCATTGTTTCACGTCGTTTGCCGCGGCCAAAGTTGGAATGAATAACCTTATCTTGGGGCTTGAGGCGGCTTACATATGCAGCGAGCCTCCACCACCATAGCTGTGGAATGGCAATAGCGACAGATGACTTGTCGACGATGCTAAGATACATATGGGCTTTCAACGCGAAACGATACCGGGATTTGGAGGCATTTGTCAGCCAATCTATGGGCTTGGGTGTCGCCATTGGTACCCCTTCTCATTGCTGGTGTAGCACATTGATAGGGATAACCCATCGAGGGGCTAGGATACATGGCATTCAATGTTCTTATGATGTAGGCAATACTAACCTGCAGATTCTGGGGTTATTTCTCTACAGGTTACACGAGCTTCGAGGGAAGGGTGTTCGTCCATCAATCGTGACGTATAAACGGTAAAATGGGACCAGGGGTGGGACAGCGCAGATTGAGTACAAATAGAAAAGGAGTTTAAAAAAGAAAAAAACCGGAAAGAGAGGGATTGGAATCCAGGCACGCCTCGTATTTTATCTCTTCCTCCGAGCCTTGGCCAGGTTGTTCATTCGTCAGCTGGCTACAATAGCCCCTACCACTGATTCCATGTTCATGTGAGCCACAAAGTGTTACTCCAAAACCGTTTTCTCAGAGAAAGCCGCTATTTCACGTCTTGTTTTGGTGTAGTCGTTTCAAGTGCCCTTTATCATGCGTTTCTGATATTGCTCAAGCAAATGTATCGTCTGTAGGCGTCCGGAACTCCCGGGTAACTGCCGGTAGAAAAGCTCTCAGATTAAATACCTTTTTTGTTTAATGTTATAGATACCATTGAGTCCATGGCGGGATTCTCCTTTCCCTGAGAATTGCTAGCATGTGTGTCCTATTGAGCATCGACCTAATTTTCATTTTCTCCATCTGCTCTTATTATCTACACACGATACATGCTAGTAGAAGGTGGAAGGTGGACATTGTAGCCTGGCATGCTCTCGTCTCACACTTGAAGAGGAGGAACGCCCACTCACCGGTGCTCTTTCATCGCGACGATGCGAGAGAGAATATAAGCGTCGAAGCCCGGGCACATGCAGCGCTTCGATGCAACATGGTGCCGGCAGAGTCGGCGGTGTTGCTCCAGATGAAACAAAGCACTTGGGAGCGCGACCGATTCGACTTGCAATCTTCCAGATAGCTGGTCATTTGTACCCCGAGCCGCTTTAGATAAAGCTGGCACTAGGTGACGACACTTAGAAACATAAAAACGCTTTTCTTCCAGACATCCTGCCTCTGCTTATATACTATGATGACGATGCATCGAACATTAACGTAGACCTCCCTCTCGACCCCTCCCCCTCTCAAGGTTTTGCCTACAAAGAGCCTTCCTTGAGCAGATACACCGCGCTTCCGCTGCCCGGCCGGCTCACAACAACAGCCCCTTCCTTCTGCTCCTCGGTAAGCTCGCGCTTGGAGTAGTACTCCCGCTCCCAGGCCTCCTTGACGGCGGCGACCTTGTTGGCGGGCACCATGTGGACAGTGCAACCGCCCCAGCCGGCGCCGGTGAGCCTGCTGCCGTACGAGCCGTTCTCGAGCGCGATGCGGCACAGCTCGTCGATCTCGGGGGCGCTGCACTCGTACAGGTCGCGGCACGAGTCCTGCGTCGCGTTGAGGAGGCCGCCGAGGCGCGCGTTATAGTCGGCGGTGTCGGCGGTGTCGGCGGGGGCTTCCTGCTCGAGGACCTTCATGAAATGCAGCACGCGCAGAGCCTCCTCGAAGACGTGCAGGGCGCGCTGTCTCAGCTTGAAGCGCTCGGCACGCACGGAGAGCTTGGACATGAAGATGGCCTCGAGTTCGGCGACGGAGACTCCCAACACCTCGGCGATCTCCTCGCGCGTGTAGCCCTCGGGCTTGGTCAGGGTGTTCTTGGTGACGTCGATGAGCTGGCGGAGCTGCGCCTCGGCGGCCTCCTCCCTGGAGGCGCCGTCGGCCTGAGGCTGCTTGCCGTGGGCGAAGTAGGCGTCGTGGAAGCCGTGCAGAGAGATGCCGAGCGGGGAGGCGTCCTTGGGGAGGTTGGTGCCGGGCGGGTTGAGGGTGGCGTTGAGGTAGGCGCCGGCCATGCTGCACTCGACGACGCGAAGGTTATAGTGGATGGGGCCGGTGACCTGCTTGTTGGAGGTGACGAAGGATTGGGCGATGAGGAAGGACAGCTCAGGGTTTGTGGTCGGGAAGAAGACAGGGCGGGCGGTCAAGGACGGGGTGAAGGAGACGAAGAGGGCGGAGCCGCGCTGGGAAAAGACGGAGGCGGACTGGTCCATGCTGCGGGTTGCTGTTAGCTGTCTGATATGAATACGGGCATTGGGGGAAAGGGGGGGCTCACCCGCCAGAGTTGACGCCGACGGCGCGCTCACTGACAATGGCCAGCTCGGTCAGCTCGGTCTTGTCGACCTTTTGCTCGCCGTTGGCGAGCATAACGGCGAGCGCGGAGGCGCTGACGAAGGCGGCGCTAGAGCTGAGGCCGCCGCCGACGGGGACGGTGCCGTCCATGAGGATGTTCATGCCCTTGGGCCGGAAGCCGTCGCCGTGCTTGCGGCGCAGCAGCTCGAGGGCGCCGCGCAGGCCGCTCTTGAAGTAGTTGGACCACTCGTGGACCTCGGCGTCGATGGGCACGTCGCCGGCGATGGGGACCTCGAAGGTGCGCGAGGGGTACTTGTCAGACTGGGCGTTGGCGACACGCAGGGTGAAGGTCTCGGAGGCGACGGGTGTGTCGGCGACGGAGAAGGCAAGGATAGCGTCGGCGGTGATGGCCATGGGCAGAACCGAGTAGAGGGAGTAGTCGATGTGCTCGCCGATGATGTTGACGCGGCCCGGGGAGCGGGCGACGACGGCGGCGGCGTGGCCGTACTTGGACTGGAACTGCGACAGCAGCGACGACCAGCGCTTCTTCTGGACGGGGAGCGCGTCCTCGGTATAGATGTCGGCGAGCGAGGTCGCGGTGGGAACGGGACCGGCCATGATGGACTATTTATGGCTGGTTGCTCGACTCCTTGAGGGTATCCTGATTGTTGAGAAGGGAAGAGTGATGCGATGCCGGTCGATAGGAGAGGTAGTGAGAGTAGAGAGGTGGTTGGGTAAATGAGAAGAAGGCGGTTCACTTATGACGTTTGGGGGGGTGGTGGTGGTCCCTTTTTTCTTGGTGGAGGAGTGGGACGTACGGCGGGTTGTTTGACGATGCGCCGGAATCGCCCCACGATGGACCTTTGGTGTTTATCCTCTTGTTGCTGCGTTGGAAGTGGTGCGCATGTAACTCACTACTTGGGATGCTACCCCGCAATTGCCCCTCGTTTGGCGATCCCTCGCTTGGTTTCTCACCCGAGACTATTCCCTCGACCTCTGGCTGGAGTCAATGGAGAGTACGGCTGAGTTGGCAATCGACGAGAATAACCAAGCGTTGATTGAGGCAGGAATCTCTTTCTAAACCGGCAAGTGTCGTGCAACATGCCAAATGAAGAAAGCTACCTCTACATGCGTATCATCACACTTTGGGCCAGCTGTGTGCTCCACCTCGGGCAAGGATTTCCCGTTTTGGACATGTATTATCAGCACGTTTTCCATTTGTTCATCCGGGGTCTCCAATTCAAGGTCCGGTGCCCCATGTCGACGTCGGCCGCCGTCGGAAAACTAGCGGAGAACTTGGAGCTGCCTCGGTCGCGACACTAAGCCGGAAGATAGCGCTGGGCTGGTGTGGCACCGCTGTCTCTGGGAGAAGTCTACTCACAAGGAGGGGTTGGGACCTAATGGATCAAAGGTATTGAAATGAGATGCATTTGCTAGACCCAGGCAGAAGTGAGGATGCCACATAACAAGTGTTCTGCAACACCGCATCGGAAGAACCCATCCAAGGCAGTTCCTGGTGCGATGGCTGACTGACTGGGTACCGGGGTCTTCTCTAAAGCCACCGCGGGGATGTCGGGGGCGAGAGGCCCTTTTCCTCATTCCCCACTTACGGGGGGAAGGTGAAAGACCCAGACGGCAAGACCCGCTGTTGGTCATTGAGTCATAACGAGAATCTTCAACATCACCCTCAACAAAGTCTTCCATGGTTTCGTGGTGTAGTTGGTTATCACGTCAGTCTAACACACTGAAGGTCTCCGGTTCAAGTCCGGGCGAAATCAGTTCTTTTGCTTTTGCACCCAAGTCCAAGGCAAATGCCCTAATTGTTTTCTAACCTATTTCGCATTTTCTTGCTTCGGGAACACTCGCTGAAGTCGCTAATGGGTAACTGCTCAGAAAAGGTCAACAAGGAACTAGCAAGGAAGATGGTTTTGTCATATGCCGCCTCTTAACGATGTGTTATCAATCGATGTATTCTTGCTGTTAAAAAAGAGAGTACGACGGGATCTTCTGTGCTGAAGTGGCTTTGAGACTGACTACATGGTGAGATTAGAGACCGAGTCAGTCCCATATCTTGTCAGACTGAAGCCTCGTATCAGATGGTATTTCTTTTGTATGGCTCGGAACTTCCTGATCTTGTAACCCTGGGAGAGGATAATAGTTCACGTAGGACACGAGGCTGTTCAGTTGTTAGAACGATAGTATACTTTGTAACATCTGTTATGCTACGATTCAAGAGCATCAGGATGAGGGCATGCCGAGGAGTGGTGAGCGTGCTGCTCACCAAGCTGGCCGTAGTATACTTGTATACGGTGGATGAAACTATGTTCCCTAGACCATCTAGACACGCTCAGAACCTTTTTGTACAGATTGTTATATTATAAAAGTTCCACCTCGACATATATCAGTCTAACCAGTGACAACGCGGCTTACACCATGATGGAAACCAGCTGCGTTGCGAACGAACCCTAGGTCAACTCGCGTTCTGCCAGCCCAACGTCACAAACGCAGCAGCTACGCCGTATGTTGTTCTCGATTCTTTCGCCCTCTGTGTGATTCAATACCTTTGCTCCACTCCACTCTCGGATTTCTTTTGGCCTTACAAGTCCCCCCTCCCCCCCATGACCACCGACAAGTCAATTCTTTCCTCGATAACTGTCAACATCATCTCGTCTTCACTGTCTTTCCTCTCTCGCCCGAGGACCGCGACTACGCCTCACTTCCGAATCCGCTACCACTGACAGAATGGAGACCACGATGAAAACCCTCGCGGCACCGTACTCACCCTTCACTCACCCACCCCTTACCATGGACAAGCTCGAGGTCGGGTCGCTCTACATCATGATCTCGGTCCCGCTGCCCATCTATCTCGGCCGCAAGAAGCACAGCTACGCGACCGCCCTCCCAGGAGACCCTGCCTTCCCCTTCAGCACCTACGAGCTCATGGTCCCGGACGGCCTGTCCTCCGAAGAGTTCCACTGGGACCTCTACTGGCACACCTCCGACTCCCCCGCCGGCGCCCTCGGCCCGCACGACGAGGGCAGCGGCACCCTATACCGCCTCCGCCAGACCAGGACCTGTCCGCCAACCTACGCCTGCGACCGCCTCGGCGTCGTCCGCGTCCGCTCGCACTGCCGGCTCGTCGGCCTCGTGCGTGTCTTGTACGTGCCCACCGCCGTCGTCCCGCACCTGACAGACTACCTCGACTGGATGACGGCCGAGTCGGCACGCATCGCGGAGCGGAGCTACGTATGGGCCACGATGGCGTACTACCGCGCGCGTCGTCATGTCCTCGGGCGCGACGGCGTGCGCGACCACAGCTTCCACCAGTTCGACATATCGCGCTTCACGGCGGAGCTGCTCTCGTTCGCCTACGGGGCGGTCCCCGGCGCGTTGGCGCCGAGCGCGGCGGAAGGCGGCCCGCCAAGGCCGGTGATTGCGTCCTAGTTGGGCGTCAAGCTGGGCTTTCTCGACGAAGAAGAGGTTGCCGCGACGAGATGCATTAGGGACGAGCTTCTGAGGAGGCAACGCGAGGAGTTTGGCGTCGTTGTGGCATGTTGGTACCAGTGATGGATCGCGTGTATCAGAGACCGTGCTGGTACGGGCCCTTCAGCTAGGAGAATACGGCGTCCTTGGAGACTGAACATGCAAGATTCTATCGGAGAATATTTTGCCTACTTGTTGGTAAGTGTCGTATGACAGCAGGGAAACGCCAGCTAACCAGCTCTTCGTCATTAGCGATAAATGCCGAGCGAACGAACCTGAGAGAAACGAATATTCCATGTGGACAGAAACTGGTTAGAGCAGACTTTGGGTTGCCGGAGGAACCAAGGAGATCTGTATCACTGGGAGCAGGCAGAGGGTATAACATGATGATGTCGTGTGCGGGGATGCTTTCTGCACCAAGGAGATACCGGCCATCCTCGGCAGTCACCCAAGTACCAGTACAGTGGAACATGGTGTATGAAGATAGTTCGTCAGTTGGGCCAAATCTGGTCACTTTCCAGACCGAAGTTCCTCTTGAAACATTAGAGATTCCTAGTTTCTGAGCCGTCTCGGCTACACCACAAGCACATGTGCTTTGCATCAGCTGACAGCCGAGACAAAACGCAGAATCTGCTTCCAAGAACTATTAGAATGTAGAAATAAGGTGGCCAGAGCCGGCATGCGAGGCCCGACACCAATTCTCAACGGCGTGGGTGAACTCGGCGGCTCTCTGGGCCCTGGCAGGCGGAGAAGACGACACGGGCCGGACCGCCAGGCACCTGAGCAGGGTCGGACAGGGGGCGCATGGGGCGGAGAGGTTGCGGGAAGAAACAGCAGGATTCCGTATCATTGCTGGTGAAAGATGTATCGGTATAACCTTGGGATCTGTAAATCATGATTCATCAGATGGCCATGCGCGTCGGAGGGTGCTCCGAGAGGTAGACACATGCGCAAGATTGAGCAAGTTTCCGCCCACCCTCACGAGCCTCCCCGTGCGCGAGCCCCCCTTTCGCAAGACGTAAAACCGACGACACCCCCCGCCCCCACCGGACTAGCGCGTTGAAGGCATTCTATGCTACTTTGTCGTCTTCTCGGGGGCCTTCTGAAAAAAGAATGCCACATATTGGCGTGGGCATGACGACGCCGAACGCCATGAAGCCTCTGTTCGCAGTTGCGCTGCCCAAACGGTCACACTCCCCCGCCCGCCGTGGCTTCTGTAGCTGACCCGACCCGGCTCCGAAGATGATACTGGTCCCTTGGTCATTCGGACTTGGTCGCTGGGCTGCTGTGCCTTCGAGGCTGTCGCCGTCGTCACCGCTCTGGTGTTGTTTAATGTGGTCTACCAGGACCGCCTCCGCCTCCGCCCGCGGCTGTGGAATAACGGAGGGGAGAGAGGATGGTGCTCAAACCCGCGGCTGAGGATCTAATTCTATGCGAACCACAGAGAACCACCAGAGATCCCATGGATACGGAGTCAGAGGTGTGTACTGCGGCTTGATTGCGGTGCTTCCTACTGCCCGTCCCGTCCCGTCCCGTCCTGTCCAAGCCTAGACGCTGACCTTAACTTTCCCGCTTCTCTAGAATGACGATATCCAAGACGGACACCGCGGCCCTTGGAGCGATAATGCCCTTTTCCTACCTCGCTATCCCCTGAAATACGAAGCCCAATGAACGAGCCTCGCATACGGCATTTCCCTCGCCATTCTGTGGGCCCGCAACGTTGCGGCATAGAACGGACCAGACTTAGCCGATCCTCAACACCTCAGCGAGAGGCTACGACATCTCGTGAGGGGCTGTGACTCTATATGGGCTCAGACCCGCGGGCGGTGCCGGGTTACGGAATGGGGATATGTTTGGGCGATACTAGCCGCTAAGATTGTCGGCGGCTGCATTGCAACATATAAGGACGACGAATAGACGGACAGCGTTGATGTATGTATTCAGTCCGACGTTGCACAGATGTATAATGCCACGGCATACGCAACCGAATCACGAACGCCGATCGATCATGGGCCACGGCACAGAACGACACGGTGAAAAACGTATCAATATCAAGTCTCCATTACGAGTCTGCACCTAACACTATGCACAAGAGTGCCCAAGAGCAGAAGACTAGCCATCCATCACGGCGTCGCGCAACCATCCATGTTTCTTCAAGGCGGCCCCTTTCCATCCACAAGGTACCCGTCGACGAACCATGACGACTTCACGACCTTGGCTTGACGTTGCTTATTTGTGCTTGAGTGCATGTCAGTACAAAATGACCGCCACGGATGGTGCCATCGGTTAGGGGTCAACTTACGGGGCAGCCGGCGCAGGTACAGTCGGTACCGCAACCGCAGGATCCAGAGCTAGCGCATCCACAGCCGTTCATCTTGATGTATTGGTATGCGGGTTGGTATGTAGGGGTTTTGGTTTACTTGTCAAGTTTGGAAGAGTCTCTTTTGCTGGGGTTTAGCTTGATTGATGTGGTGTTGTAGATGGAAAGAACCAAAATGTCACAGCTGAGCATCGCGCGTTGTTTTAAGTAATGGCTCTGATTATCTAATAATGTGCTCGCAGAACGAGGGAAGCTGGAGCTCCTCGGATACAAAGGAAAGAACGGCAAGAGTCGGATGGCCTTGTTCGTTCCCGACGGCTCCTTCCAGCCCAACGAAACAGACCACATGTCCGCCCCTCAGGGAAACTGCTAATCGCCCATTCGCCGCCCGCTCAAAGCCGTAGTTACTAGCTCTGACGCCCGGAAACCAGAAAGATAAGGGGGAGAGGAAGGCGTTGCCTACCCCGCTCACGCCTCGCCACTACGTGCTTGCTTTCGTCTCGGCCTGTACCTGGACGATTTGGGAAAACAACGGACGATCGTGGACTGAAGAAAAGAAGAGTGGCGAATGACATGAAGTCAAAAACCACCCTTGTCACAAGCATGCAGATACCTAGATACCTAGGTACCTAGGAGGAACTGCAAGCTTCATTCAAATCTAGCAGGTGCAGCCCCACTTTCCTACCGAGGCGATGGTTGGCCGGGGTGGGGTCTTTTGATGGACCTCTGCCTGTCTGCTGGCTGCCCTTTTGGGAAGGACTGGGCTCCGCGGCCAATGGGACGTCAACAGCCGAATCGGTACAGCCTGCGATGCGGGGGAGGGGGCAGATGTGGACCCAGGGTGAACAGCAGTGTGTTATCGAGATCCTTCTCGGCCACGGCTCGCTAGGGATCAGGGGCCTGCCTTGTCTTCGGCCAACCTTATAGCCACAAGCTCGACTGTCGATTGGTGAGGCCGGAGGACGTGTTTCAGCGAGGGAGAGATGAGTGACAGCAAGATGGGAGCAGCGAACTCGGACCAGTCCATGTGGAGGCGTGACGAAGAGCAACGCAATAGTCATCATAGTACTTGCTGACCTGGCATACCAATCTAGTTTACAACAAGAAGCCGGAAAAGCCGCAGCACGGATGGGGGGTTATCAGCCGGCCCGCTGGATGTCGAAATGCACGTCGCCGCTTGCAGCGTTGTGCAGCATGCATGTGCGTTACTATCGGACATGTGGCGCGCGCATCTCGACGCCTCTCAGTTCCCACGACCCAGCAAGCTTTCATGCTTTCCCTTTTTCTTCCAAATAGGCTTTCTAATAGTACCAGCCCCTAACGCGAGCGGCAGCGTGATGAACATGTCCCTTGCAGCTCACCAGAAACCTCGTGACTCAACTTGAGTTGAGAATATACTTTTGGAGTCCTCGACTCGCAGTTTGGGATCGCGAGATCTCCGAGCCACTCGCGGTTTTTTGGTACCCAAGACTTGATTAAGCGCGTTGTTGCATAGTCCCTTTGAAAGTAGCAAACTCGAGACTATACAATAGCTTTTACAACGATCTCGTTTCCCCCGTCAACCACGTGAGGCGTGTACTGCGTTGCACGAGCGAATTTCAGCCGCTTCTAAATTACATTTGCTGTTCCTCGTCATTCTGATATATCTGTGCTTGTGGTATCTAGATTGGCAGAGTACTACAAGATAGTGGCGAAGATGAATAGCAAGGAGAGAAGCAGGCGTATATACTTGTTAACCAGTTCTAGGTGGATCCTGCACAAGTTTCCCCCTTAGCTTGGAGCTGATTCGGGCAATAATGTAACCAATCAATGAAATTTTGGTGTCTTCGGATGGTGTAAGTAGCGACGGGCCACAATTATCCTTGAATCATGATACTTCTAGTTTACCTGGCCTCAGTTTCATGTCTTACAATTAACATGACACAAGTCTATATCGACTTGAGGCTAAGTCATAATAAAGTCTATATCGACTTGAGGCCAAGTCATAATACCACTTGCTGCTGTAATTGAAACCGAAACCTCTCGTAAACCCTATTTCTTTTCATAAACCCCGGTTGAAAAGTGACCTCTTCACCGTTGGTGGCAGAAGCCAGGGCGTATCAATAACATGCTTCGGTGAACAGCCGCGCCTGCTGGGACACCTGAGCCTGCTTAACCAGAGCCCCTTGGCCGCTGATAGGCCAAACGACCTGCCCCTATACGACAAGATGGTCGTTCTTGGTATACATTGCGAACTACTAATTGGAACTCCGTTTGATGGTGATGTGCTTTTCCCTCTTTGCTGAGCATTTGCTACGAAAAGTCTCAGCGTCATGGGGCGTCCGGTCGCCCCGGCGGTAGTTGGTGCATTCGTGACAGGAAGCGATTGAGCTGTCGAGCTTCAATATACTTGCAAATATTGGCTTTAGGAACGACGCACATGCTGCAATGATGCCCATGTTGAGCTGGAGACTGTTTGCATCGGACAAGTTAGTTTGATGTAGGAAGAAAAGGCGGATATAGTATGATATGCTCTCGTACCACAGCTTACTTTTGCCTGACGTGAACCCAGTAATAGAAAACATCGTCTGGCTTGCCGCCCGTTGTGTACATGTAGACCGCCTTGAGAATGCCCATGATGATTGAACTGGCTGTAGGATCAGGTGTTAGTTGGTCCAAGCTAAACTGCCAACTGTGTAGATTTGCCGCTGGATTTGGGGGGAAAATACAGATATTCTAGGTTGGGGATGCAAATCATGTAGAAGCGAACTCGGAGTTTGAAATTCAGGTTCCAAGTGATTCGGACTGGCAGAGCTCCCAGACATACATCGGTGAAGATATTTCAGACTGCTACCTTCTTCGTTAACATTAGATATGTCATCGATTTTGCGTGAAACTAAAAAATATCCCAATACGTGAGATCGAGGAAGATGTGGAAGTCATGGCATCTAGGATCAAATGGGTTGATCCACTGGAACTCCCACCAGCCCGAGAAAGACATACAATAAACGAACAGCCAAACAATCGCTTGGACGGAGGACGCAATAATGAATCCTTAGTCTTGAAGAGAGTCCGGTCAGCTTTGAGGCTCTCAGGAAGTAGACAAGCAAGGCGTGCGTATGGGTAATATCTATGATTCCGTACAGTGACCATCGGTACTATTTCAGGTCCTTGTCGAGCCGCAATAGACTGATTGCCATAGAGATTCTCAGCAGCCCCATGGCAACGCCGTCGGAGATGACTGTCTTCCAAAATGTGATGCGCTCGAATTCTACCCGTTCTCCGGTTGGAATTGTCTGGAAATGCCGTCCAAGGCCATATGGTATCTGTAGAACTAGGCATATCCATGCCGTCAGAGCGATGACCTGCGATGCGCAGAGGTTAGCAACCACATGGGTAATCGGGGCTAGTCCATTGATTAAAGACTTTTGACGTACAACGGCAATGGAGATGAGTACATCCTCAGCCTTAAAGACCCTGAGGATGATCGTCCGGGCGTAGATACGCAGACAAACGAACGCCAGGGCGATGAAGTGGAACAAGCCAACAACCCCAATGATCCGGCCTGCGCTGCTAGTATTGACATTTACCGGAGGCAACTTGCCCATTCTTTCTATAACCATGGGCTTTCCAGTGAATCAATGAGAGAGCTAACGAACGGAAACCATCTCGTCTCCACTGATCAGCACTATATTCTGAGTGGCTAGGAGTTCTCTCAAGGGCTAGTCTAGTAGGCTCTTTATCCCACGTTGATGCCGTGCTTGAGCAATGGAAGCAACTCTGTTCTGGGACCTCGAACCCGAGATCGTTTGTTTGAGAAACGTCAGCTTATCTTCGGCGTTCAGCGTTTTCGGCGAATAAATAGTCACTACCAATGATTGTACAGGACCCTGCTTCCAAGGTTGCCGCCGACGTTCCGGCGCCCAAAGGTCGTTCGCTCCAGGCCATGGTTGAAGTGAAGTCAGATTCGGTAGTTGCTCTGCGTTATCGGGTATTCTATTCCGTATGAAGATATTGAGATCTGGCACAGGTCAGAGGTGCCCCGTATCGGTTTTACGTACCGTGGTATTACATATGTATCGGGTGAACTGCACTAGACCACTTATGGGGGTTTAGAGCAACTGTATCCGTCAACAAGACCCTGATTATCTCCTGTTGCTTTCATATGCCTGCCTTCAAAAGAACAGTGCCCATTAATTAAACTAGCGGGCGCTCCAGTCGGACCCCATAAACCCCTATAGTACGGGCATGTCGGTTGACTCGTACGTGTATTCCATGTCGTTGTTCTACCTAGCTATGCATACATGCACCAACTCCCAGTCACGCAACATCGATGACGCTGGCGCAGCGCATGGTTCCTCAGGTTGACCGGCTCTTGGAACAAGCAGTGGGCAGTGTGTTTCCTGCAGTGCGATTCGAAGAACAAAGCCGGAAATGGGATCGCAATGCGCAAGACGCACGAATCCCTGGAAGCGCAATATGAGTCTCACCATGGCTGAAAACCTTAAACGGATGGGCCGACCCCGTTCGAGATACTTGCTCTGAAGAACGACTACACCAACAGTTGGATGGCAAAAAGGCAAGGGAAAAAAAAGAAACCCCGTCGCTTTGTCTTACCGCCAGCACCGCCGCATCAGTGGGCTGGCTGTGTACCTTTGATACACTAAGAAAGACCCATCCACAAGTTGCTTATGGGCTTCTTGAAGACAGGAAAGTCAGATATAAGAGATTCAAGCCCCTAATCCATTTGTTAGTATCCAATGGGGCACTTCTGAAGGCATTTCTAGTGTCCTGATGATGGTATGGCAACCGAAGCTTTTTCGTTTTCTTTTTGTTTTGTCACCCGCGTGACCAAGCTACAGCTGACGAGTCAAAGCCATGGAGTAAGACTGCAGTCTTGGCATTGCATGTTGTGATTCAGACACCTGACAGCAGTTAAGGACAGTCAGGAGAACTCTCTCTTATATGGTCTAATACCAACCCTGATCCTGGCTCACGGATTCACGCGGTGCAGACCTTGTTGCCAAGATTCATCTTCCCCCGACATATCCATCTTGGGATTAGTCGATTTGAAAGGAGCCGGGGAAATGGGACGGCACCACCCGGGCTCGTACTGCAATGCCCAACAGTTGCCGGGTACCCTTGCGAACTGCTGCAGCCTTCGGGTAAATCCGATGAATCGAACCGGTTGCTGGCCGGGCCGGTATGGATGGTGGAGAATTTCCTGTGCCGCCTCCCTGCCTCTGGTGGTCCTGCAGACTCGTCGTAAAATGTACAGTTTATTTTGCTACCAGCCGCCCTCTTCCTATCCTAGTTGCATTATTTCGAGTTACAGACGTCACGTTTCGTCTTCGTGTAACACAAAGCGTGACGTCTCTTGATAGACATGCACATCAGCAAGATGTGTGCAGAGTCGAGCTTCGCTACCGCGCTCTTTGCCTGAGGGACCGTCACGGCTCGCGAGGGCTGCTGTAACTAGACCATATCACGAGACATTGCCGTCGCCAGAAGTTGCGCGGTCGGTGCTCACGCCGCCGGTTGGTTTTGCGACCATGGCCATAGTGTCATCGTCGTGGGTTAGGCTAGCCAACTCGTGAGCCATCTGTCCTCCTCCCCTCTCCTCTTCCACTTTGACGCTTGATCAAATGACCATTTGCTAACTCGGATTCTAGAGCGGTCATAACGTTCTGTACGTTGGAGTCGTCACAAGAAAGGCCATCAATATCGGCGTCCAGGCGTGGATGGAATGCAAGGATACCTTCGACTTCCCCCAGCGCATGAGCGTATCAACAAGTGGGTCGATGCAGTTCACTGATATTAAGTACAGCCATGTCGATTTAAAGTTAGGTCAGCCGGTCGAAGGCTGAATAGCACTCGTAGCCGACTCGATGTACTCAACCCTGGGGAGGGACCTGGACTCCTCGAGAAGTACGAGGACATCACCCTCCCCGGTTTCGACAACTTCCCTGAGCTGGGATCCGCCCTGGAGTACCTCGTCATGTTATTCGATGACTGTGTCGAGAAATGCGACATCGCTGCTGTCCCCAAGATATGGGACTCTACCGCGATGACCCTTGATGACACCATGGATGTGCCCGTATTCTTTGTGACGCAGGCCTACGTAAACACCAAGTGTGTCCTTACTGCCTTCGAACCCGCGGGCGAGAACCTGCCCCCCCAGAAGACGGACAGACGGAGCAAGAGGTCTTTGAAGTTCAGATTCATACCGTCATCACCGTCTTCCCCGGGATCCTTCGCTACTTGTCGCGAGAGACTAGTGCCGCCTACTCGAACAAGTCGCCCGTCCCTGGGTCCGCTAACTACAGTTCCCAACGCATGAAAAACTTCCAATATTACGATAATGTGCTGTGCCACAACAGCATGGATTTTATCGAGCCACGGATGCCAAAAGAAGAATTAGCTGTGTACCGGTCTTACTCTAGAGCTGCTGGGCCCAGCTTTCGTACCCTCGGGAGGAACATCGCGCTCTCAATTGATTGCTAGAGTGAGACACGAAAAGCATGTACTCAGGAGCACTGGGCCACAGTTTGCAACTGATATCGCGAGGGTGCGCCAAAACCTTTCGAAATCGTTCATTGTATGCTCATGGTCCAATTCATCATATTGGACTCTCGAACGGATCATAATTATACAACCTGAGTCATTGGTCAGGCGGACGTTTTGATCGGTGGCAAAGAAAGAAAACGGTCGGTATCGCGATACGTATTGGGATGGCCGTCTGGGACTTTGGGCTCTTCACAAATCATTGGGATGCAAAGCAGTAGCATGGATTCAGGGAAAGAAGTCTGGGCATAAACAAAACCCAGACCTACTTGTGGATATATTAGTGCGTTTGGAAGCGCAGAAAAGGACTAGGAACGAGCTCGCCGTCAACAGCTGAGGAGAAATCGGGTCAACAATAATACACGCCAGACTCTATAAACTACCAGGTGAAAGCCTCTTCAACCAGATCCACCCTGAAGCCATCCCTAACGCCGTTGACGACGTGCATAGTGGCCTCGTCTGCCATTTGGCCCGGGCCGCAGACTAGAACGGTTGTCTGGTGGTCCGTCTCGAGGTGTGAACGTATCACGGCGCCGACATCCATCCTGCTCATGATTACGCCCGCTGCCGCAGCGTCAGATCCGTTCAGGGAGGTCTTCTGTTCGGACACGTCGCTGGAGCTGGTGCTGGTACAGTACAACGAGCACTCGAGGCCCGGAACGTTATCAAGGAAGTTGTGGCGCACGTGCTCGATGAGTGACATCTCCCTAGCGGACCAGGCCAGAACAAATCTCTTCGTCTTCCCCGAAGCCTCCCCAGCGGACGCGTTCGCGTACTGCTGGATGAAGCCGAGCGCGCTGGTGATGCCGATGCCGCCTATGAGGCACAGAACCGTATCCGCAACAAGGAGCGACTGGTGAGTGGCACGGTGGCCCGCATAGGGTCCCTCTGTGAGGACCGATGTCGTGATGGTAGATGAGGAGGCGAGCTGGCGTTGAAGCCATGCTGTGGCGCCGCTGTGAGCGCGAATCAGGAAAGTGACCGAGGGGGCACCCTGGCTCCGTGGCTCGCTCAGCGACACGACGGCGTCCTTCTTGTTGATCTCGTCTGTAGGTGAAGCAGGAGCGGATACGTTAGGCGCAGCACTACCTGCAGCCCTCCACCCTGCAACACTGAAAGGGTGGCTCTCCCAAACCTTGCCCGATGCGGGGAAGTAAAGGAAGCTGTGCTGACCCGGGCCGAACCCTGTTATGGACCGTGGGTGAACCTTCACCTGCATCACATTGGAACCGGGAATAGCCGTCACTTCTGCCTTGGAGCCGCCGAGGTTGTAAAAAGCAAGGCGAACAAGTCTGGCAAAACGTTCAAAGGCCCAGTAGGCGAAGCAGATGTAAAGCCAAGTCTGGTAGCCAAAGACAAGGCCGAAGTGGGGAACCAAGTGGTACCAGCACCCCACGAGGAAGAGGACGACGAGGACGATGTGGATGGCCAGGAAAGTTTCGTAGAACCTGATGCGGAACGGCAGCACCGCAAAAGCGACCGCTAAGCTTATGGCGATCGTAGCAATGATTCCCCACCACTGCGAGAAGCAAAAGATGTCAGTGAGCTCAAGTGACAAGAAAGAGTAGCACCTGGAAAATCACGTACGTAGAAAGGCTCCGCCGCCTTGGCCGCATAAGCAGAATAGCCTGCATATCCGGGTTCCCAGTACGCCATCGTGTAGACTATGGAGTGCACAATAGCCTGCAGAGTGGCAACGCGTGCAGACCAGCGATGCAAGGTCAAGAAAGTCGTCTGGCTCCATCCCGTGAGAGCGATCAGGAGGTTGTTGCGGCCGGCGAACAGGATGGCGATGCTCGCATTGACAAGACTGAGGGTACCGGTGCGGTTGCCGACATACTCGCAGAGCTCGAATCCCATGGAAAGGAAGAAGACATTGGGCTGGTAGCTGCCGAAGCTGACGGCGGAGAAGACGACATTGAGAACAACGTAGACGGCGATGAAGACGCTTAGCGTCCTGCTCGGTACATAGCCGATCTGACCGGGAAGAGGCTCCAGGTGCCGGTGGCCGACCAGGGCTGGAAGGAAGACGTGCTGCCGGAGCTTTGCCCAGAATGCCAGGCTTTGGACTTTCTTGTACAGCGCAGGGCTGGCGCTCGTCAGCTGGGCCCAGGCGCCACAGATGACGCACACGCCGATGACAGTCAAGTAGAGGGCGACACTAGAAGGAGAGTTCGGTAAGCATTCATCGCAGGTCAAGTGAAGAAGACAAAGGAACCTAAAGGCTGGCAGGTGTGAAAGGGAGTAAACATACGAGTATCTGGTGTGGAAGTACTCAGACCTGGCAAACTCTCCGTCGGTGCCGTAGGTTGAGTCGTAGAGGGCCTGGTTCACTAAACTAGTCTCGTTGAGCCACATGGCATCTGAAGCGAGCTCGGTGGTTGGAGCCACGGAGGGAAGGCTCTCCTGGAAGGTCGGTGACGGGGCACCGGCGACGGCCTGCTTGCTGAAGCATTGGGCCTGCTTGTCTGCAGGGTATCCGTGGGCGTTGCAGTTCTTCTGGATGCAATAGGCCATGGTCTGGAGCCACGGCTTGTTGGAGGCGTAACATTCGGGGCTGGTCGTGCCCATCGGCATGCTCATGCCGGACATGCTCATCCCCTCCATACCGCTCATGTCCATGCTGCTGAATGTGGTGCAGTTCAGGTATAGAGCGGAGAGCGAGTCGTGGCATGCTTGGCAGCACAAGTCCGGGTAGAGCGAAATGCCGAAGCCAATGATGCCGGAGCCGGTCTGGGCATAGACATTGGCGATCAAATACGACAGGGCGATGAGCCCAACCGACCGACCCATGATGGGCGAGGTCCTGGGTCGAGGCTCGTCGTGAGGTTGATCTGACGAAAGGGCAATAATAATTGCTACGGCGAGATCAGGACCAGAAGAGAGAGAATATTCGAGTCAAGATCGATTTCGGTGAGGATGAAGGTCCAGGCTCCACTGACAAGAGGTGAAATAGGGAGGTTTCTGGCAGAGAACCCCAATCTTTGTTAAACAAGCTCGACAAAAGAAAACTCTGAATTGCTCTCTGCTTATAGTTGGCCAGATGATAGGACTACTCTTACTTAATACTACGGTCGTTGATAAGAAGCGGGCTAATTTAGGGGGGGCAACCCCATGGCAGCCACCGACAGGACTAACAGTAGCCAGGTAAAACCCATGATCCACGCCTTATCATTCTCAAATCCAGACGGGTCGATGCCGGTAGGAGAAATACAAGCAACGAGTGTGCCGAAGCGCCGGGGTCGGAAAAAAGGGGGACGCAGCGATGCTTCCAGACCGGGGGTTGAGTGAATTTGAGCTAGTTTTCTGGAATCTGTACCAGCGCCGTTAATGGGATTTCACACCTGTGGCTTGTAACCTGCGGGATGAATGGGTCCATTTCTGGGGCGGGCCATATTTAACCGCAGACTAGTCGAAAGTGGCTGTACGGAGTATAGTTCCCTCATATGGCAATGTATTGGTTGCATACCAAAGTGGTGTCCACACAAACAAGCCTAAGAGATAGACGATCGAGGAGTCTGATACAGTCGAACAACGCCCTGTAATTTGAATTACTGTCCGACCTTGCTCTATAACCTGGCAGACTCTTAACGCCTTCCTGTCGGTGTTAGGGGAGATGCACTGAACTTTGCAATTGGTATCGAATGGTTGTACCGTGCTCTCAGTGGACCCTGAAACGATTGGTACGGGTAGAAAAAAAAGGCTTAATCCAAGCTTTAGCCTCGTTTTAGGCTGGAGGAAAGTCACTTTTACTCGAGTACGTGCTGAACGGATGAGAATTACCTATAGAGTTTTGCAAGGGCGAAGTCTGAGTATAGAGGACGGTGCCTCAAACGGCTTAGCTGCATAGTCAAAGATCGGTTCCTAACTGATATTTGGTATAGAGTTCCCGATTGTTATCCAGATTGCCGATCACACCCTCGCCCCCCCTCCTTCATACTATTCTTTAAGTGTCATGTAATCCAGGACAGGCAGCTAAAGAAGCCATGAGATAGGGCGAAAGAGGCCATGAACTGTGGATCTGCACGTCTTTGTCGGAATCCAATTTACAATGTACTATTACATGCCGCGCGGCAACTGTAGGCTAAAACTGAGCAAACTTGCTCGTTCAAGCGCATGGTCTGCTGCTTCAAGATCATCAAACACTACGACAGGCAGTAAGAAGCCCCGGTCCATGTAATTCCCGTGTACTTGGGTAGCAAAGTACCGAGAACGAAGCCCAACCCGTCGGAGGACGTAGTCATGTATTCCGTCCTAGCGTCCCGCTGGGCATGAATCGCACATGGTCCGAACAGTCTATTCCCATCTCGGGGTAATCCGGCAAGTCGTCCATCGTAGGGAGCTATCTGAGGTGGTTTTCCAATTGGCCGTGACTTTTCATGGCCTACGACGTTGCAGCGCTCTCCATCAATCGCATCGTGAGTCAAGGTAGTATTTCTCTCAGATGTACCCGGTCTCGCACTTCTGCCCCATCGCACGTCATCCCCTATTCATAAGTCGTTGTAACGCCCACGCAACAAAGTTCGTATTACGCAATGGGTGTACCATAGATCACATAGACTTGCTCAGACCAGCCGTTTGATGGAAAGAGCCGAGGGACACCACACCCACACAGCCGTATTTCTTCGTTTCGTCCTCCCCTTTCCTATATCTCCTTGTCCTTCTCATCGTGACCAGTCTTAGCACTACCCAAACCGCATGAAAAGATGAGAGCGGTGTCAAGCGTATCAATCTTGGGCGCCGGGCCGGCGGGATTCGCCCTGGCGGCGGACCTCCAGAACCACGGGATGAACACGCTGCTGTACTCTCACCGGACTCACTTGCGGCACGCCAAGGCCGTCATGGAGACAGGCCGTCTCCAGCTGAGCTGCAAGATGGAGGGCTTCACGAACGTAAAACTCACGACCGACATGACCGAGGCCGTGGCCTTCTCCAAGATTCTCATCTTGACCGTGCCGTCCACCGGCCAGCTGACGCTCCTGAACGAGCTGAGACAATACGACCTGCGGTCCCACACCATCATCGCCATCCCGGGCAACCTGTTCTCGTTACTCAAGGAGGTCGACATCGAGGCGGAGAACATCCTGGAGACCAACCTCTCACCGTACTCGTGCCGCATGGAGGGCGACAATCTCGTCGTCTTCGGCCGCAAGAGCGTCATCCACATCGCCGCTCAGAACACTACCGCCGCTCGGCCGGGCTTCCGCGAGGAGATCCAGAGCATCTTCCCCTCGAAGCTCCGGTGGTGCGACAGCGTCATCGAGGTCTGCCTGGCCAACGTCAACGGCGTCTTCCACCCGCTGATGATGCTGATGAACGCCGGCCGCATCGAGGACACGGCAGGCGACTTCCTGCTGTACCGCGACGGCCTGACGAGGTCCGTCGCCAACGCCATGCTGGCCGTGGACCGCGTGCGCATGGAGGTCTGCACCATGTTCGGCCTGCGCGCCGTGAGCGCCATCGATATATCCAACGAGTGTTACGACCAGACCTTCACCGACCTGGTCGACCTGGCGCGCAACTCGCCGCCGCACAACAAGCTGCGCGCCCCGGCCGGCTTCGAGAACCGCAACATATCGGAGGACGTCCCTGATCTGCTGGTGTCCTGGCACGGCCTGGCCGAGTGGGTCGGCGTCGACGCCTCGCCCATCACTGCCGTCATCGTCCTCGCCGAGATGGCCACGGGGCTCAATCTCAGGGAAACGGGGAGGGGCCTCGACAAGCTACGTCTTGACGGCCTTGGACGGAGCGAGTTGGCGAGCATGTCTAGCTCTTACATGACACCACCACAAACAGAAGCTCGGTTGTGAGGGGAGGAATTAGTGATGGAACTTGATGGGGTTTCCGGCCCTTAGTATTACGAGCATACACATTTCAGAAGTTGATGATAAGAAGTGATGTATTTGGGTGAGGGGCAAGGGAGGGAGAAAACTCCGCTTGTTCGTGCCGCACGGCGGGCCACACGACGTGCACCCCGTTCTCAAGAGGCAGAACATGATGAAATACCACCATGTGCAGATTCCAGCTTTATCAACTGTAGACTTTGCAAAATTCATGGATATAGTCGCTCTACACCCCAATAAGTGGATTCTTTACATTACAGAGTTGGGTGTTATAAGGTGATGTAAGTAACTACAGGCAAATGAAAAGAAAAGTGAGGGAACAACGCGAGTCGTTGCTAATACGGCTGGCCCGCGTTTGATGCTCTGGCATGTGCTCCATTTATATGCGTCCGTTTCATAACGCTCGCGACTGATGCGCGGGAGATTCTGTTACACAGAAAAAAACGACTCAGAAAGTAACCTTGTTGCACGGCATGTTCCGGATCCTGGCGCCGTACACGCCGTACACCAACGGCAGAGGGGCGAACACCAGCGCCAAGAACGCCAGCAGGCTGTTCCCCCATCCCCATCCGAGGCGTTCGTACAGACCGAGCCCGCTGAGCGGGAGGACAGCGCCCGCAATGCCCCTGAGCACCGCGTTGGCGCCCACGGCGCTGGCAGCGTACCCCTCGAACGCGTCGATGAGGTACGTCTGGATGCCCGTGAAGACGAGAATGGATCCGAACCCGGTCACGGCCGTGCCGGCCAGAGGGGCGGCCCAGTGGACATGTCCCTCGACGAGCCAGCCGTAGGCGAACAAGCCCGCAGGGAAGGCCAGGGCCCCAGGTAATGTGATGATGGGGGCGAGTCGGTCCTCAGGCGCGTTGACACCGCGGGCGGCCGCACGCCGTTTGAGCGTCCTGTCGCTGAAGGCGCCGACATAGAAGGCGCCGCACAGCGTGGCGAGGCCCCCGGGAAGGAAGACGAGGCCGACGGCGACGGCGGAGAAGCCGTACACCTCGGTGAAGACGAACGAGTAGGTGGCGAAGAGGAGGTAGAGCGTGCCGTAGAGGACGGCGACGTAGGCACACAAGACGGTAACGAAGGGGCAGCAGAGGAGCAGCCTCATCGGGCGCACTATGCTGCGTCTGAAAAGCTCCCCGGGTGTGTAGTCGCGCGCGAGACTGGACCGGTAGTTTGGGTTTCCAGTCTCCTTGCGGATCCTCGCTGCTTTTCTCTCCAGTAGCACGGGCGGATACGTTTCTCTCAGGACGAGGAACGCGATGATGCAAACGACTCCGATCTACCACCCCCCATTAATTCTGAGCAACGGATTTTTCACGAGAGGGAGGAGTCAAAGCAGGCGGAGTCAACTTACGACGATGGCGATGACGAAGAACATCCACCTCCAGCCCAGGCTCTCTGTCACGGCGCCGCCGATGACGGGACCGACCATAGGGCCGAGGATGGTGCCGACGGACCAGATGGACACGGCCCTGCCCCTCTCGTCGCGCGGCATCAGGTCGGCGATGGTGCCGGAGCCGATGGTGATGGTGGCGACGCCGGCGAAGCCGGACAGGAAGCGGGAGAAGAGCAGCATGCTCTCGCCGCGCGAGACGGCACACATGATGGTAGCGACCAGGAACACCAGGTTGGTCGCGTTGTAGACGGGCACGCGGCCGTAGAGCTCGCTCAGCGGCGCCAGCAGCAGCGGCCCGCAGGCGAAGCCCAGCACGAAGATGGACACGACAAAGGTCGCGAAGGTCGCCGAGGTGGTTCGGAACTCGGCCATGACCTGCGGAACCGCCGGCGCGAGCATCGACGACACGAGGGGTCTTGTTTCGGCGGCGTTAATAACTTCGGACGACGGGACGAGATTCGGGGTTTTTATACGGTCATCGGGACTTACACCAGGAAGCTGATGACGGAGATGGTGAGGATGTTGGCCCATTTCACCAACGGCCGCCAGTTCATAGGGTTCTCCGGGTCCTGGCCTTCCGGCTCGTCCCAGTGCACCGTGAGCTGGACGTCGTGCTGCGGCTGGTTCTCCGCCTCGTGAGAGCTATCGGGATCCGAGGACGAGAGAACGCCCGTTGAGCCGGCGTGGTGCTGCAGCTGCTCGTTCCCGTGCTTCTCCTCACAAGACGCACCGGACGCCATCTGCGTTGAGTTCGAGGCTGTTCGGCCACGGCGGAGCCATGGGAAGAAAGCCGGCGCGTGTTGTCGGAGAGGCAACATCGCGAGACAAGTACACCAAGAAACACCGACGATGGCAATAATTCCATTATCTGGTCGTCGTTGCAAGTGCTGTTATTGCTGCTGATGCTGTGGCCGAAAACAGGGCAAGTATGGCAATCCAGGACAGTCAAGTCAGTCTTTGCGTAACCATGTGGAAGACGGCCGTGGCGCACTACCCATCAGCCAAGGACCCCATGCATTCATTCATTACCCACTTGACTGTACATGCACTACCCTGTTGGACACTCTCCTCCCCCCACCTCCCCTCCGGGGCCACGACTCTCGTTTCATGAAGAAGATGTCCGGGTGAATGCATGGGGACCGATCGGTGTCTGGTCCAATGATTCGGATCGGAACACTCCGCTGGGATTCGTCCCATAATTGTATGTATACGGAGTAGGTGCACCGTTTAACGACTTTATGTCGTCAAGGGCCAATGCTTAGCATGCACTAGCAACAGGGTGACACGAAACCTACTTCTAAGTTGCAACTTAGCTTTTGCTGGACTGGTTCCTGCTGATCTAGCCCTTCCACCACGGTTGTCGAAGATCGGCACATGGAGCGTAGGGAAAATGGTCTTGGGTGGACGACGTTGGGTTGAAATGACCCCCCTCGAGCAGCAACGTGGCTTGCCGGGGGTCTTTTAATTATCACGCAGCGACCGTTAGTCGCATTGATAGCGCGGCAATGGTCACAAAAAAAAAAAAAAAAACACCTCACGAAAGGTTTAGTCTCTGATAGCTACAGTCACCAGCAGTTCCATGTCCATGCGGATGCCCTCGTCAGTGGTGAACTTGTCCCATTCCAGCTTCATCTCCTCCCGCGCCCGCGGGCGCAGCTCGAGCGGGATGCCGCCGTAGGTCTTCCCCGACGAGCTCGTGTCCAGCCAGTCGATCATGGCGTAGCCGTCCTTGGCGGTCTTGACAATCTTGTTCACGACGATGGTCCTCTCGCCGAAGCCCGCGGTGCCGAGGATGCTCTCGAGCTCGGCGCGCTTCAGAAAGCGCGGCCCGCCGCTGTGGTCCGGGTAGTCTCTGTAGGGCGGGCGGGCCAGCACGTCGGCCTTGATGACCTCGTGGACGGCGACGAAGTCGCCGGAGCCGCCCGAGATGCCCAGGCGGCCGCCGGGGCGCAGCACGCGGGCGAACTCGGCGGCGGCGGCGGGCTGGTCCTGGACCCAGTGGAAGGTTGAGTTGACGTAGATGACGTCGAAGCTGGCGGCGGCGAAGCGCGACAGGTCCTCGGCGCGGCCGACGTGGAACTCGAGGTTCGGGCGCTCCAGCTCGCGGGCGAGGGCGATGCGTTCCGGGCTGGGGTCGACGCCGACGACGCGGCCGCCGCCGGGGGTGACGAGGTCGGCGATGTGGGCGGTGATGTTGCCCGGTCCGCAGCCGACGTCAAGGACGCGCTCGCCGGGGACGACGGCCAGCTTGTCGAGGAGGAACAGCCCCGTGGCGTACTGCGTGTCGTTGAGGAGGGTGTAGCCTTTGGCAAGCTCGCTCGTGTCTGCCGTGTCTGCCATGGCTCGGATGTGATGTGATATGCTAGTGCGACGTGAGACTCCGGGTTCGGCTGCCAACGACACTGATAAATGGTCTTATGTCGGTTCGGTTCGGCGAAGAAGAAAAAGCGTCAGTGAGTTGTGGAAAGAGCCGTGCCAGCTCCCAAGAGGACAAGTAAGTGGACGGTCTGTCATATTGAAAACCCATCCGAGTACCTCACATGAAAAGCGGATGATGCAACGAGTCAATTCGGTCCCACAGCACGTAGTAGTACGTAAACTAGTAGTATTATCATGGTGAGCGCAAAATAAGATGAGACGGAGGGAAACCTAGTGTGGCCACTTTTGCGACTGGCAGAAACGAAGAACAAAATAAAAATAAATAAAAACAAAATGTAATATTAACAGAGAGAGAGAGAGAGAGAGCGAGAGAGGGCGAGAGAGGGCGAGAGAGAGCGAAAGAGAGAGAAAGAGAAGTTTATTAGCCTCACTAATTTCCACGCCGTCACTGAGAAACATGCTCAAACTTACTCGGTTGCAGTCAGTCCCACGTACCGTTACGTACTATGGTATCGGGCCAAAGTTTAACCCCCTCGTCAGGTAAATATGGCCGTGCTTTTCTGATTACCTCAGCGACGGTACTTTGAGGTTCTTGTGCACATCCATCATAATTCTGGCCAGTGAGAGTCTCGCGTACGTGGGTCACAACTCCACACTACCTGTTAGGGAGTTTTTACTTACCCATCACACGTAGTATGCGGGCGTCCATCGCGTGTCAGCTGATGTTTCGGTACCATCAGGAGGGGCAGATCGCCTAAGGCGTCGCCAAGGAGCGTCTACAGCGGCAGGGACCGTAGTGGTGGGGGGCGGGGGGCCCGGGCAGGGTCCTGCAAGGTCTCATGTACCTGTGACTTCCGCCTAGCATCGCTGCAACTTCGTTACATGAAGGTGGCCAGGGCGAAGGTTCCAGCTCCAAGTCCAACACGTTTTCTTCCCGAAAGACTTTTCTTTCCGAGAGACTTTGAAGCTCTCGTGTATTGCAATACTAGTCTTACGTAATGGACACATATTGTCGGCATCAGAAAACCAATCTGTTCAGCTGATCCGTGACCAGACGAGAGACTGTGCCTGAGCAGTGTTTGACAAGCCTGTACCGACTCATCAGTTAGGAACGGCTCAGCATCATCTTTACTAGGACAGACACGCCACCGATAGCCAAACTCCGTTCGGTCCGAGCCATCATGATTATCCATCAACTGTCCACGGCTTCGGTCGTAGCGACTGTTGTCTTCCTCGTGAGTCTTGTCTCAAAACGGGCCCCCCCCCCCGTCTCGTCGTGAGAGGAATCACTCACCGTGTCCGCCTAGATCGCCGCAAGATGCATCGCCGCCATCCTTTACCGCCGCTTCTTCCATCCGCTCCGCGCAGTGCCCGGCCCCTGGCTCAACAGCGTGTCCGAGTTGCCCGCCGCTCTGCAGCTGGTCAGAGGCAACCAGCACATCTACTACAGGTCACTGCATGAAAAGTACGGGCCCGTTGTGAGAGTCTCGCCGAGCGAGCTCAGCTTCATCAACCCGGAGGCGCGAGAGGAGATATACGGCTTCCGCGTAAGT